TTCCATGATACAGGCCAACTGCTCCTGCTCGTTCTCGCCGGGAAACAGTGGATACCCAGTATATAGCTCCGCGAGAATGCAGCCAAGAGACCACATGTCGATTGGCATTCCGTACGACATGCCAAGAATAACTTCTGGGGAGCGGTAGAAACGACTCTGGATATATGTATACACCTTTTCATTCTCAAAGCAACTTGATCCAAAGTCAATGACCTTGATATCTCCACGGAGCGGATGTACGAGAAGTACGTTTTCGGGTTTCATGTCACAATGCACAACTTTGTGATTTTGAAGGAGCACCAGAGACATTAACATCTGTTTAGTGAAACGACGAATAATTTTGAGGGAGAATCCTCGGAAATCATGAGCCTTGATAAACTCATAAAGATTGATACCCAGTAGCTCCGTAGATATGCAGAGGTGTCCACGGAAGTAAAAACTTTGGGTGAAGTTGACAACACTGTGGCGGTTTTGTGGATCCTAAATTATATTAGATTGGCCATTGTATTTAGGGAAAGGGGATGACATACCCATTCTTTCAGCTTTTGAAGAATATTCACCTCAACTAGTGCCTGTTGATGGAAACGTTTTTTGTTACGAATAATCTTGACGGCAACAAGGGTGCCAGTCTTGTGATCAACGCAACGTACGACTTGACCGAAGCTGCCTTTCCCAAGGACATCGACAACCTCATATCGATAAGCAATATGATCGCCGATAACTATGTTATAGTCTCCACGTTCATCATCATAGCCAAAATTGGCGGTCTGAGCATTAAGATCGCCGACATGCTTCTTGGCTTTGTGAGTACCGCAGAAGTAGATATCCTTATAGTCAATAATTTCTCCTCGTTCAAAGATATTAAGACTTGCAATCTTTAGGGCTTGAGCTGGAGAAGCCCGTTCCTTAGGACCAGCTCTTCGCCGAAGCTCATCCAATTCCCTTGCTGCCGACTCAAAATCTTTTCGCTTGCTTCCAAGCTTTCGCATTTCCTCTTCAGCTATGAGGTCATCACGGTCAAGTTCTCCTTCCTCAACTCGAGGCTTTGCAGATGCTGGGGCGGGGGGTGGGCGCGGGCCTCCAAGTAGCCGTTGTACAGGGTTCAAAAGTGAGGATGATGAAGAACTTTTGTTCGGTTGCGCCTCATCAACTATTTCCGTGGATGACTGGGTTACAACTGTCGGCCCTGGCTCACCTGTTATACTCTTGTTCCTTCGTGAAGAAATGCTGGCAACCACATTTGAGATAGATTGTTTTCGCTTGGCCGGCGCAAAATTCGTATTTGATGCAGGACTGGTTCGTGATAGATTATTAACGGAAGCTGAGGCGGGAAGTTTGGGAGGGGGCATATTCTCAAATTTGACATTGTCTGCCGTTCCTGTATCATTGCATCCAGTGTGTCTAGTTTGGTCGAGGCTTATCTTTCTTTGCGGTGAGGGCGGTACAACGGTAGGGCTAGGATTAGGTTCTATAGTATCTGGTTCATATTTGAAGTTGAAGGACTCAGAGGCAGAAATTGTAGAGAACTGGGTTTGTGGGCGTGGGCCAGTCAATTTGTTGGTAGAAGGCTTGGAAACCACTTTATCACGCATAGAGTTCATTTCATCAGTACCCCGAGGCAATGATGAAGATATATATGGCGAAATAGTTCGGTTAGAAGATAATCCCATAAAATCCAGAGCGCTTGAGCTGTTTTGAGAACGGTAGCCGGTTTGATAAGGTAGAATAAACTGCGAACTGTTGCTTCTAGATGTGTGGGCGGGCATTGGCGTATGTTCCTGGGGGGCATGAGAAAAGCTAGTTTTAGAGGCCGTCATAGGAGTACTTGGGGTCTTTGCCACAGTTTGGCGGGGAGGAGGAGGAGGTGTAGTAGACTGGTTAGGAGTAGGGTCCTTTGGCTCCTTATCTCGTAGGGCATTAATTTTACTCGCAACAGGAGCGCTCAAAGGCATTAAATTGAGTGGCGGTAGTTTCAGTGGTTGAAGGCTTCTCTTCCCATGAGTGACAGTGGCTCGTGGCTTAAATTCAGAACTAAAGGCACGGTTGTCATGTTGCATCATGGTGTCCCCTAGGGAAGTTTGATGAGCAGGTGTAGATGGTGCTTCAACTTCCGTAGCAGAAGGTGTGTCTTTTGGTGCTTGTCTCCTCGCTTCGAGTTCGAAGGGCATGCTGGTCTGCCTTGGGGTAAAAGTTTGGGGTAGGTGAGCTTCGTTTTTGGGTGATTCGTACGCTTTTGGGATTGCAGGAACAGGTGGAACTTCCTCTTCTTCCTGATTTGAATGCTCTGTCCGTGGTTTAGGAGTTGGAAGTCTGGAAGTTGATATAGTCTGTGAAAGCCGACCCTGTAGAGAGCCACTGGAATTCCTAGCAGAGTTATAAGTTGTATTTGACGAGAGGGATACTCCTGAGCTATAAGATTTTCGGTGAGGGTCTGGTGTAGTGCGTGCCGATGAGGGTGTTACGCTTTTCCGAGGTATCATAGAAGGAGATGGTGCTGAAGAACGTGGGCGAGGAGAGTTTAACTCTAGTTGGGTAGGCGAGCGCTGTGGGATTGGAGGCGGATTAGGAACAAGAGACATTCGCTTCATCCTTCGAGCGTCTGTGGGAGAAATCGTTCTTGCGCCTAGGCCAGTTGGGTGGTGTGGCATCATTGAAGACCGTTTCGACGACGGAGTCGTGTTTAATGTCACAGTTCCTTTCCCCGGAGTCTGGATGGCAGTATTTGACGAAGACCGAGAATGATCGGAGCCGCCAGGGGTGATTTGGTTCTCTCTGTTTCCACGGCTAACAGGCTGCAGGGATTTTGCTTTCTGGCTCCTAGTTGTGTTTAGAAAAGAAGGGCCACTGGGTTGTTCCGTAGGTTGATGACTACCACGATTTACATTGGTATTCACCCGTATTTCCCCTGTTGCATTTCTCTTTGCAAAGCTCTGACGCCTTTGAGGAGGACCATCATCACCGTTTACTTGAGACGTAGCCGAAGCACCAGGTCCAATAGATTTCCGGGGTTGCCTAGGGCCTGCAGTGGAGGAGACTGGAGGTGTAGCATGGCTTTGTCGCCTTGTACGCGTAGTTATAGGACCAGGCGTTGGCCCCGTTGAATTATGTACCCCACCTACACTTATACCCGTACCAACACCTTCAAGGTCGGGCTTCTGAGCATTGCTTTGTCTTCTGTTGAGGGTATTTTGCCGAGCAGGTTTAGGGCCAGAGGCGGAAGTGGTTGTAGTCGACCAACGCGTTGTTGATTTGGGGGGAGATGGAGCAGATCCAATGCCAGCTACAAGTTGACCTGGCATAGGGAAGTGACTAAGACTCGGTTCTCTTGAGGAGATACTGTTATGGAAATCATCGAAATTTATTGCTGGAAGGAATTCACTGCTCTCTGGAGGCGTATGGTTGCCAATCTTTATCAAAATTAGTATTTGGTAAACATATATTTTGTCTTGGCAGCAGAAGACGAACCACATTCGGGAACGGCGTTTCAGATTTGTTCTGGGAGTTCGAATGGTAGTGTGTCGTTGTGCTATGAAAAGAACGAAAATATGCATTAGACAGTTTGCTTCTATCATTTGTGATCAAGGCAAGAAGATTATATACCGTCGCGATGATACCGGCCCGCCGATTGTTGGACTGCAATCCCGAATCGACTTCCTCCGCTTTGAAGTTGTTCCCTCGATTTGCTGGTCGGCGCTTTCACGAGAATGCAGAGAAGAAAACGATGCCTGGTTGGTAACCGGGACGATCGGCGAGTTCCTTTGCAGCGGCTGGCGATTTGTTTGAGCTATAACGTATGAATATAAGATTAGCACACATCTGCTTGAAGATGGAGAAAAAAAAAATACAACATTCAAGGTTAGCAAGACTAGGGGGTGTTTTATCACCATAAAATCGAGTTTCATTAGATCTAGAAGGCTCAGAAGGGTTCGAGTGGTGCTGTACTGGCTGCTGCGTCACGGCCGGCAATCTCTGGGACGTCATGTCCGCCGGCATGTTGTCGAGGGATGACCGGAACGTTTGACTGGTACGTCAGGATTGCTGTTCTTGCGCGGTGGCATCCAACGTATAACGCAGGTGACCTGACACACCTGATAATGGTGGAGAGGTTGTCTAGCCCGCACGCTCAGGGGTGACGCCGGATAACTCTCGGTCAAGGACTGTAAAGAGATGGACGGCAGCGGAAGTGACTGGCTCATTCCTGTTATGCTGCTACCGCGTCATGATGTCGAAGACTTTGAATCACAACTGGCCCAGGAGCTGTTATTATTGCTGTTGCCCTTCTGGAACTTGTCCCGTCCACGTTTGGACATCCACCGACCTGCGAAATCGGTGGGCTGAACGCGAGCAGACCAAAAGTGAGATTTCTTGTTTGTCGAAAGGGATTTTGTATCGTTCGAGTCTCTGGTGGATCAAGCATCAAAAAGCAACCTGGTCAGTGAGGTACAAAACCCCCATGTAGGTACAGGAAACTCTCAACTCTGAGTGGTTGGTGGAGCTCTACCTTGACAAGATCAAGCGGGCGTTGGTCGTTAGTTAATCCGCTATAGAAAAGCCACTTGCCACCGGCAGACCCTCACAAGGGCAGGAAACAATGAATATCCCGGCCTGCATCCAAACAAACAGCCTTGGTCACGATATTTTTATATGGCGATGTTTCAATTGCGTGTTTGTCGCAGCCGCAAGTTTATTAAATTAAAAGCGAAAAAACAGGAACGAGGTCGCTTTTTGCCTCTTTGGGACGCTGCCCTGAGCTTATGTAATGAAGATTAGATAATGAAGACTAGCCTGCATCAGGTTAGCGTCTCCGGCCGAGATCACATGCTTAGCCTTTCCGCTTTGGGAAGTAGTCGGGCATCCATTGAAGAGAAGCAGCGACGTCGCTGCGCAAACAAACGAGATCAAACAACTTCATGATATATAGAAGATGCATACTTTATATATATAGAGAGAGAGGAATAAGTTAAAAAGAAGAGCACCTATGCCAGTGAGTGACGTGGAAGATGGATGAATACACTGCAGAACTCTTCTCTGGCCAGGACGACGGTAATGATGGTGACTCCCGGCCCTTGGGAAGTGTGGAGGAAAAGAAACCTCCCGTGAAGCCGGACACTGCAAAGGAGGAGACTTCTCCCGGCCTATCGCTACAGGACCGGTTGCTTTCCAGGCAAGTCTTCTATCTTTCTCATTCCACGAGAAGTGAGGAATATTGCCCACCCACTAACCGACATTAGGTTCCTCCAACAGCTGGTTCCATCGGAAGATGCTGGTAGTGATAAAGACGGTGGTGAGGATGTTGATGCATCCTCAGAAAGGCCCCCATTCAGCCTTCCCACGATGACCAACAACTTCAGGCGTTTTAATGCCAGGTATAGTAAATATTGCGTGCCAACTATTTGATAAACCTCCATTGCTGAGTATCAGTAGAATAGGGATAGTCTTTCGGTTTCAGTATAACGTGATTAAGCTGCTGTCTTGGAAGCACAGAACTCAGACATGGTCCCTGATATGCGTCTACTCCTTTATCTGCCTCGATCCATACTTACTGGCAGTGCTTCCATTTGTTCTAATCCTTCTGTTAATCATGATACCCGCCTTCTTGACAAGGCACCCTCCACCACCTCCTTCAACGTCAACGTCTAGTACAACTCCATACTACTCCTACGAGGGCCCAGCTCTTGCTCCAGCTAAAACCATCAAACCCGCTGCTGAGACGTCAAAGGATTTCTTCCATAACATGCGAGATTTGCAAAACTCCATGGCGGATTTTGCCGTCCTTCACGACGCAGCTGTGTCACTCATTGCTCCTGCTACAAATTTTTCTGATGAAAAATTGTCGTCTTCCCTGTTTATTGCTTGTACCGGCTTGGCGGGTGCGGTCTTTTTGGTGTCGCACCTCTTGCCCTGGCGACTTATGTTGCTTTTTGCTGGGAACGCCCTTATACTGTCCAATCATCCAAACGTAAAATCCCTTTTTGAGGCAGTTAAGGGAGCAATTGCGTCTCATAGTGCCTCTCAAAATAATGCTGAGGCCAACAAGAAGTCCTTCAACATTTATGGATATTCCATACCCTTAACTGTTTCTGGCATCATGGATCTCCTCGATTCAATAACTGCTATATCCCTCTCTGCTGAGCCTGAGGAACGCGAAGTTGAGATCTTTGAGCTACAGCATAAAACGTATTCCTTATATTCGGCGTCACCAGAATGGGAACCCTTTTTATTCACGACTACGCCGTATGACCCGCTTTGTCCGTCTCGTATATCAGGAGATCGACCTCGGGGCTCTCGATTTTTTGAGGATGTCAGACCTCCCCCTGGGTGGGTTTGGAAGAGTAAAAAGTGGGAACTAGATCTCGAATGTCGAGAGTGGGTGATGGAACGCATGGTTACTGGTGTGGAATTCGAAATACCTGATAACAATGACGGCATCATCGGTGAGGAAGTGGGAGGTTGGGTATGGGATCTGCCGTTTAACACGCCAGATGATGAGCATGCTGTCGATATCCTGGCTTACACGGATTCGTGGGAAAGCCCTCGAAGAAACGCGCAAATGGCTGCCCAAATGAGCAAGCGTGCCAATCAGAAAGACAAGCCTGAATGGGAAGAAGCCACAAAACAAGTTGACAGAGCTGGCGACTGGAGAAGGAGACGCTGGGTCAGGGTTGTCCGAAGGATGACTATTGATGAGAAGGCAGTGAAAGCAACGCCAGTATCTTCTTGACCACATCACCTCTGTTTTTTACTGCCGTTTGGTTCCTACGCCTGGATACAGTTTAATTAATAAGATCATCCAGAGTTGGAAAATTTTTAACGAGGAAAGAGCCGGTGAACCATGGTGTTTGCTTCCTCGAGCTCTATATCGACCTTGACTTGATATCAAATGCAAAACAGAATATGCACTGTTGCTGCCTTTCAGGCCATATTGTTGTTATGCAATTTGGCCGACAGCAGCTCCTGTCACAAACCTCGATTATCACAGGGAAACAGCTGTTTGAATCCGACGCATACCGCTAAAGGTTTCCTATTGATTCTTTATCTGACTTTAGCGGTATCCTGGATACCGGAGCCGCGATTCTGACTCCTACCATAGAATGCCACAGTCCTACTCTGACTCCTCTGGCTTCTCCATATCATCCCCTTAATAGCAGCAGTGGTGAAAAGATATACCTAACTCCATTTGATTTATTATCATCGAATGCATCCCGAAGAAGAGGCCAATTTTGGTAACGGAGGCTTACAAGAGCTAGCTCCATGGTCTTGGTCTGAGATACAGGACTCAGCACAGCTATTGAGGACACATAACGTACCAGAAGGAGAGATGAATGGAGCAGTTCAGCGGATACCAATCTAAAACTCACCGCTCTCGCAAGTTTCAATGCCATTTTCAGGGCCATCGTCCGCATCACCTCATGTCATCCAATCTTCCATACAGGCATTCGCCAAAACTTTCCATGTGCATGCATTGAACCATCATTTCTTGAATTCCTCGGCAAGAGAGTGTTGGAATTGAAGGTGTTCGAATGGATGTGACACAAAGTAGGAAACAGTTAAATACCCGAGATAGGGAAAATATCACCGTCTCCCAAACCCTCGCGCTACCTCACGTTATACTGTCCTAGAGACACCGTTTTCACCGTGATTTGTTGTCAACCATTGACAAAGGAAGATCATGAAAGAGGAAGCGAGCCAGTTGGTGGTCTCCTAGCATCGCGACATAGGAGACATAGGGAAGTAGGTACGGGGGAGATGTTAAGGGAATGGCCCGACCTTATGCCGCAGGGTAGGCCCAATATGGAACGCCTCACACTCGCCTCACAAGGAAATACTACTCTGCGACGAGGTTGAATGGATCTACAATGGGTGGAAATCACTTCCTCGTTGCCACATATGAACCTTGTTAGAAGATTAGTCCCTCCTAGAATTTAGCTAAAAAAAAAAAAAAAAAAAAAAATCAATGCCTCGGTTCCTGGATATAGTATTATTATCATCACACTTGGTCTCACTTTGTGTGAGAAGAGGATAGACCCAACAATTATCAGGGAAAAACTAAGGATTTTGGGTGCGGGTGTCAATTGCCTGCCGGTTTCAGACTGCAAAGCTCCGCGGGCCGAGCCGAAGCGTTGGTCAACTAGTTGGCTATCAACTAACGCTACCTAGCTTTAAACTACGGGGTATTTACCCTGGTTTGTTTGAAGTCAATGATGATCAACGCTTATCTTGACTTCTGTCAACCTCTGCTTGTTGTGTTAGGCACACTTCCCTAGCAACCTAAGAAGGTACTCAGGTACTCGATGTAATTATTCAACTTGAAAAAATTACAATAGATAAGCAAACCCCTATAAAACATTCCCAGTTTGCTCTCAATGGTTACGTGATGTCCTCTTTTATTTTTTTTATTTTATTGTTTATTATTATTATTATTATTTTTATTTTTATTTTTTATTTTTATTGATTTATTTATTTTTGAAAAACAGATTTTATTGTTGCTTCATACTTGCTTGCCTGTAATACATATTTTTAACTAACTACTGGGTCACCACCTGTTTCTGAACTCCATTCGTTCCCATACCGCCGCCCAGGATGGAATAAAAGCACGTAGAAAATCTCCGGAAAAGTTGAATAAAATCAAGCAAGTTGAGAGCAACTATTGCAAGTACTTCTGTTTCACCTCCTAATGCCTGAATGCGAAGTTCTAGTCAACTGTATGACTGTTCAATGGTCATAATTGTTGCAAATCAGACTAGAACAAGGAAGGCAACGATGAGGCCGAACAGATACGCAAGCTTAGCATCCGTTGTATTCTCTTCAGCAGCATTGACAATAGTAGAAGTGGCAATGCTAAAGGTTGGTGAAGAGTGAACAGAGGTGCTATTGGCGCTAACTGTCAAAGTAGTAGAAGTAAATGGGACAGATGCAGTGACTACTTCTGTAGAGGTAGAAATAACAGGTTCAGTGTAGCGAGTCTGAGTAGCACTGGTTGCCTTAGTAGTTTGCATAGTTTGAGTTGGAAGCACTGAAACAGAAGTTTCGGGGGGGATGTAGGTCATAGTGCTAGTGGAATGAATGGCGTTAGGTGGCAAGGTGACACTAGTCTGAGCAGCTTCCTTTGACTCCGTGGTTGGTGACTGTTGAGGCTGCTCAATGACCTCAGTCCCAGTCATTGCAGTAGTAGTTGCGGACGTAGGAGCAGGTGACATGAAAGTGATAAACATGGTTGTTGTAGTAGTCGACGTGCTTGAAATTGTAGTGTCCGTCACAATTGGCTCGAGAGTGACCATATCTGTAGACCATGGAGAAGTAGTTGAAGCCGAGGGAAGAGACGACGTAAACTTAGGAGGCTCCGAGGTAGGTTGAATAGAGGCGGAACAGTGCGTAGAAGAGGCTGTAGCTTCCTCGTGCTTGGTGGTAACTTCAGTGGTAGAATAGCTGATGAGAGGCTCAGGGGTAACTATGCTTGGAATCTCACGAGTGCGGGCACTAGTCCAGAGGCTAGTGAGGACAACATCAGTCGTAGTCGTGGTAGTAGAAAGTGTGGTAGTGCTTTCAATGGGAAGCTCAGAAAGAATACCGGAGCCCTCAGGTGACTTTCCGTGCTGGGGAACAGGGGCAAAAGTAGAAGCAACCGATTCAGTTCGAAAAGAAGCAGATGACTGAGCAACGTTGCTTTCAGGGGCCAAGGTTAAGCCAGCAGACTTAGTAATCTGAGGGACAGGGGCTAGGGTAGATGCGACGGATTCAGTGGGGACGCTCTGGGGTGCTTTGACAGGTTCCTTGATGGCGAAGAAAGTGGAAGCCACAGGTTGAGTTCCAATCAAAGACCTAGGGGATTTCACGGATGGCATTGGGGTTCTCTCAGGTACTGGCGACATTGAGACCATGCCTTTGCTTTTATGCAAGCAAGTTGCATCTCCAGCGGTTTCGGAGGATTCGAAGCCTGTTTTTGTCAAGTTAGTACATGGTATTGTGCAGTGCATAACCAATAAGGTATATGATATCAGAAATACATACACATAGCATTACGGTCACCCTGACTAAATGGAGAGAGAGAGAGATGTAAGCAAGTGATACTTAGTATGTAGGAGTGAGAAATCACGTAAAAGACGCGTCAAGGAATATTGAATGGAGATATAAGGCTTACTATTTCTTGCAGCTGATGGTTTTAACAATCGAATTTCCTACGCATTTGATCACCATAGGGCCATTGCGGCCTTCGTAGCAGAAATCTCCATCTGGAGCTGGACAGTAGATAACAGTGACACTTCGACGGCTATAGAGTGACAAAACGTTAGAATAAGCATAAACAAGCTTAAATGGATAAGCTCATGACGAGGAGCTTGCTTCTCTGAGGCTCTGCCATCTATATGCGTGTGGGTGAGTGAGCAAGAAGAAGGGGACACATACATGAACTGGCGGGCGTCGACGCCATAGAGAAGCGAGAACAACGCGGCAAGAAGAAGATAGATCTTCATCTTGACGGGCAGAGGAGAGCAAAGGGGGGTTAACGCGGTGTTTCAGCTGCTGCAGGGTGACTTTGAGAGGAGCAGGTGGTAGTTGTAGTGTGGGAGTGGAGGTTGTAGAAGAGAAGAAAGGTTTGTTGTTGTGAAGGTGAAAGGAAAGGTATTTATAGGGTGCCAGGAGGACAGGCTAGTGAGGGGTGCAGGACAGCCTTCACTTTGGACCGCTGCAGCACAGTCACTGGGTGAGGAAAGGTGAAGTGAAGGGGATTTTGCCGGTAGGACAGACAGGCAGCCTGGAACAAAGATAAGTCTTCTTTGGCTGTTACTCTGGTATAGCTGCTTGCAGACACTTGCTGCTCCAGGCATAAAAGGAGAAGGATTTGGATATCAAGGATCAAAGGGCCCTCGCTGCACGGGTATAGAAAGGGGAATGACATTGCAACTTGTACCCTGTATCTGGCTCAACACCGGTAAGAAACAGCATTCTTCCTAGGAGACCTCATTATATATGGTATAATTAAGATGGCTAAGAAACAGAAGAAGTACAGTAAGAAACAGCAGCCCATGCTCTATATCCCAACTTTTGGTTCATGAGAAAGGAGTAGAAAATATACCAACCAGGGAAAACGCCTTGCCCTTGAAGAAGATCAGCACCGCCTGCCAGTGAGCCCATATATGTCTCCTCTATTTCGGTTATAAAAAAACAGTCAGCCATCGCTCGAACCTATTCATTTTCATTTCTGGCCCTCATCTTCTTCAGCCTCCTTGCAATATCTGCCTCAGTTTGTTGCATAGGGTTAAGTTTTCTATCCTTTGCCATCCGGGCAGTGTCATCGCCGTATTTCTGTACCAATCTCTCAAGCCATTCCTCCTCTCTCTTGCTCTGGTGTCTGGGTTTTCTGTTTTTTAATTGTTCTTCCTGAGCAGCAGCCTGTTTCTCTAGCTCAGTCACCACATCAAACGACGAGGTGCCGTTGAGATCACTGAGGGCCATATCGGTGTCCTCTGGCAAGTCCTCTAAAGGATCATTAAGGGGGTTATTCCTTCTTCGTTTCCGTCCGGCGACTTCAATGGTCTCATCCTCCTCATTATCCCCGCTGATGACTCGCAGGATCTTTCCAGTTTCCGGATCACGTTCAACACGGACTTCCCCTGGCTGGAGTTTCTTGCTTCGTTTCTGTGTGAGCGGTACATGGAAGGGCTCGCTTGGACCGGACCGTGTGGTATCGCTTTCATCCTTGGATATCTTTTTCTCTACTCCTCCCGCCGGTGCATTCAAGCGAGACGTCAGGCCGAGTCTGCGATAGTTTTGGGTAAGTGTTAACTTCTTATCCCTGCAAGCAAATGTCAGCACCTATTCCTCCAGCCCCTACAGCTACCAGAGTTCTCCGTGTCCTTACCAGTTACTCTTGATGATAGCATTGCCAAAGACGTTTATCTTCTTATTTCCATTCTTGGCCTTCTTGCTCTTATGCTTCACCCTCGGATTCGAAGATCGATTCTTCTTCTTCTGTAGCACCTTTCCCATCTTTCCTCTATGGTATCTTGCACTGAAATAAATATACAATCGCTCTTCTGCGGCTTGCTTCTCGTCGTTTTATCTCGCTTCAAAACTTTTTCTCTCTCTATCGCGAAAGTTTGTCGTCACAGGTCTTGGCAGATAACTAAGTGACTAACTGGTGGCTTATGTAATCTTATACTCGACCCCTTCTCTCTAAAAAGGACCAACTCTTTTTGGCTTGTTATCAACTATTATTGATAGTTACCAACCGTCAAACACCAACTATTTGATGCCAGGTTTATCCAGTACGTATTATGCGGGTATGAGAGAATGAGAGCCACATTGATCTCCCAATCACAACTAGAGTGAAACTCTCCTCCGTGTTCTATGTCGCAGCAGCTTTTCAGCCAGCCTCAACCCGGCACTACCATACTAGATGCAAATCCTACGGTCCTCGTAAAGGCAAGGCAAACATGGGACACCATTGATGATTATAGTTGTGAGCCTATAACGAATATCAGATTGAGGCTGTTATGAGGCGATTTTTTAGGAGACTTTGCCCAAAATAGATGGCGGCAATAATCGAACTGTAAATCATCATTACGGGGCAGTATTCCATCCTATCTATCAACTGCTAGGGTTCATATACTCCATATACTATCTGTCATTAGCGACTGGCCGGGCAGATGTGATTCTTCATATGATGATCAATGTCGTGTGCCACTGAATCGCTAAATAGACGATGACCGATCTCCCGCAGGGCTGGCCCAGTTTATTTTAGCTAGCTAGCAAAGCTAACTTGTCAACGAGCTAACTAGCGTAGATGGGGCGATGCGATTTCACGACACCCTCCCACCTCAACGCCTCCTGTCAAGCTGCATAACTACAGTGGCATTCAGGGGTTAACCATGGCACGCTCAATTGGATTCTCCGCCTTCTACGGCCGGCTATGGCGCTTTCTAGCTGTGCTTGCACTCGTTGTTGTCCTTGCACAAGCTACAGGTACATCGGACAAGGCTGGCACGAGCGAGCTGACGGTGCCCCAGATCGAGGAGAAGCTGCAGGTAAATAACAGGTCGAGGGAGAGATACTGGTGCACAGATGAAGACAATCTAACTATCTAACTCCGTGTCTGCTGGGGGTTTAGGAGTGTCCTCTCGTTCAATCGCTTAATGCGCAGAAACTCGCCAGTGCCCCTGAGACTGCCAGTTTGACATCTAGGGTCTTTGCGGTTTTATTCCCTGGCAGTCCTGCTGTGAATGCCATTCTTGCTACCATCTACATCTCTGGACCTCCCAGTAAGTAGCTCTCTCACTAAATACTTGACCCGTGAAGAATCAATCTTAATACTGTTTTGTTTACTTGCCAGACTTCCTACTGGCATTATGTCCTCCGAACATCGACCCATCTTCCCTCTCTATAATGGTAGCCTTTGCCGTTGGAGGCCTGCTAGGAGACACCCTCTTCCACCTACTACCCGAAATATTTCTTGGAGAAGACTCGCCAGAGCACGTGCGGTTCGTGATGGTTGAGCCAAACAAGAATTTAATCCTCGGCCTGGCGATTCTTGTTGGTTTCGTGACTTTTGTGGCCATGGATAAAATTCTCCGGATTGCAACTGGAGGGGAAGGACACCAGCACGGTCACTCGCATGAGCATGGCCATAGCGAAGATTCTGGACTAGTGGCAGCCACAGGCGTGTCGGCCGGGGATGGTAAGCACGGTAACCTGAAGCAGCGGAAACAAGCAGCAGGTTCTGCTGGTGCCGCCTCGGAAGATAAACTAGACACTGGGCCAAGTAACAACCCCAGCGTCAAGTTAGGAGGTTACCTGAACCTGATTGCAGACTTTACGCATAATATCACTGATGGACTAGCTATGTCTTCGTCCTTCTACGCCTCTCCCACTATTGGTGCAACTACGACCGTCGCAGTCTTCTTCCATGAAATCCCACACGAGGTCGGTGATTTTGCCCTTCTGATCCAGTCTGGCTTCTCCAAGCGGAAAGCCATGGGTGCTCAGTTCGTTACGGCCATCGGCGCGTTTATCGGGACTTTCATTGGAATCGCTATCCAGGAATTTGGGGGCGGTGGGTCTTCATCCACAGTATCTGGAGTAGCTTCTCCAGGCTTGCTAGGAACAAGCCTTACGGTTGGTGACTTGCTACTACCATTTACGGCTGGAACGTTCCTTTACGTTGGAACGGTAGCGGTTATCCCAGAGCTGCTGGAGACAGGTAAGGATAATGGAGTGGAGACTAGAAAGACCCTGATGCAGTTTGCTGCCATGGCTGCCGGAGCCGGCATAATGTTGCTGTATGTCTGTTCCATTTCTTATTCATGACTTATTCTTCAGTTGCTAACTTGTTTCTAGGATATCCTGGGATTAAAAAATAAATAAATAAATAAATAAACGCATGGTTCAATATTGAAGTAGAAGTCTATTTGAGTAAACGCAGGAAGATATAGATAAAATGAAATATCAAATCCAATCAAGGACCAGCCCGCCTAGATGTCCATTCGCTGACTGAAAGGGGAACTCCGATCAGTTACTCCACAAGCTTGTTTGTCTCATGCCAATTCATTGTCTGTCTTTGACTTCCGACTTTGACCCTACATTATAAAAAAACAAAAAAGAAAGCAAGAGCAAGAAAAACCACATTTGAACACCCCCTGAACAGATCTAAAGAAAATTTGGTTCTCACGCGTGGAGAATATGGAAAACGCAATAGCAACGCAGCAACGAACTAGTTGAAAGGGGAAGAAAATATGCATCATATGCAAAGGTTCAGCGCGCCAGAAAAGGGGAGGCAAAGAGATTAACAGAAAGAAAGAAAAGGTTAAAAACAGCGAAAAGGGGATAAGAAGCGAAAGGTTATGATATCTGGTACAGAGGTCTAAGAATGATACGAGCATACGTGGCCGTTGGTAGGTGGAATAAAAAGGGTAATAAGATAAAACCGGTGATAGAAGGGGAACGTAAGAGAGTCGGAAATGGAGAAATGGTTATTCTCACTCGTTATAATGATATACCTAGGATGGAGGGTTAGTGATGGAGCAGTGGAAGAGGGTTGGGGCGCTATTGGGAGAGAGACGTACAAAGTAGTTTGGAAGACCGTAGCACTTCCACCCGAGTCTTCGTGCCATTTTGGCGAATCCCTCAGACTCGACGAGGTGGTAGAAGGGGAAAGGAGGGAACATGGCTCCGTCCCGGTGAACGGCAGCCTTGACCATCAAAGCGGTTCCACCTACACCATCCAGCTCCATGATCTCGCGGGTATTTCTCTCCGGTGATCTGTCTGCGCTGAGGGCCATCAGGTTTCTGTAGGTAGGCAGTTCACCGTACCCTTCTAGCATGATCTCATCACGGCCCATGCTGTTGGCAATGTCGAGAGACCGGGGGGTGTCGGTCCACGAGTTATAGTCGTATGGCCGGATATCCATTTCCTTTGTGTCCGGGTTGAAGAATCTCTGGTAGCAGTTTGCTACAAGCACAGCCTTGTCGTGGCTCGTCATGTCTTCGATTAGAGTCGGGGGTGTCTCGATAATGTCGCCGTCCAGCCAGAGAACCCAGGAGGTGGCTGGTCCGAGAGTGGTGAAAAGCAGACTGTTTCGTGCCCGGCTCATGGACTCTCGGCGGATCTTTTGGTTCTCAAGCTTATGGCGCTCCTTTTCGTCCTGTGACTGGATCGGCGGAGGGAAGTCCTGTCGCAGAATTGTGATGCTGGCGAACCGGTCGTCAATGGGGCCGGACTGGACTTTGGTGATTGCAGACTGTAGAGCGGAGTAGGCTGCATTTCCTTCCCTGGTCTTGGGGATGATAAATCCCAGGGAGATGTATTGGTGAGGGTAAGTGAACTTATTAAGGTTCTCCCAGTACCCGGGGTAGAATCGCGAGAGGGGGGTGAGAACGAGGATGCGTTCCCGGTTCTGTGCAGCGTCTCTGGATGAGGTGAGATTGTTCATGTTGTAGTGAACGACAGGCGGCGGCGCCCTCTTGTTCCCAGCGGCCTGCGACTTGTGGAAGGGCTTTGTGGGCGGAGAGAGCGGGTTCTGAGCAGCGTCATCATGCCGTTCCTGAGAGGTAAAGGCCGCCGTCGAGGTAGGGGAGAAGATGAAGAAGAGGAATCCGATGGCTAGGAGACCGGCTAGCACGATAGTGATCGGATTCGTGCGGCGTAAGGAGCGTGAGAGGGCCATCGTGTGCGTTGTAGAGGTGTGCCGTGTGGGTGTCCTTTTGGATATATCTGGTCTCGGGCGGAAGGGGTTCGTCAGGGACGGAGACGACGCTCTCGATGGAGACTTCGGCCGTGGGCTGAGTGTGCAGAGTAATTGACTTCGTTATCCAGACATATATCTGATCCTCCGCAACATGTTTCACACAGTCAGAGAGCGGGAGGCTGCTGGCGGGAAAAGGCGAGGGTAGCGGAAGATGGGCTCCCAGGGCGTCGTCAACTTGTCCAGGGAGCGCAGGCGACGTAACTAACTACTCGTTAGTGGCAAGCGAGGTTAACGATGCAGATGGCAGGCAAGCCCAACACACAGCCAGCCCAGCCGCACAGGAAGACGCAGGACAGCAGCGAGAGAACGGCGAGCAAGGAGGAAAGAAATAGAAGTAGCAAGATAATAAAATAAAAAATCCGAAGACGCAGCAGGAGGTGAAGTTCGCCTTCAGGTCAAGTTTTTGCTGCAAAAAAGCTGAAGTTGTTCTTCTGGCTCTGCGGCCGAAAGAGGAAAAGCGCCGGACTTTATTTTTTCTTTTTTTTTTTTATTTCTTGAATTTTTTTTTTTTTTCTATTTTTGAATTTCTATTTATTTGTCTTGTCCCTTTTTTATATTATTATTATTTTTACAGGAGGAGGAGGAAGATGGGGAGGAGGAGTCGGGGCAGAGGAGACGGCTTGCAGGCTTACGAGGGCGGACCAGCGATGGAGTCGTGCGTGTCAGGACGGCCAGCGGAAGGCGACAGACAGACGTCAAGCAGCAGTAGAAGCAGCTGACGAGTCGATACAGCGTGCGGGATCGGCTTGCTGGCTGGTGGATAGCCAAACACGAGTCACGCAGATCAAGGGGTGATGGTGACCCGAATGTAGCCTGTCTGGCTCTGCAATCCGGACCGGGCATGGTTATATATTTTGGGACGACGATGACTCTCTCGTTTTTCCCTAGCTGGGGGAGAGGAGAGACCGCAGAGATTGGTCATGGAAGGGCTCTCATGACTCCCTCGAAGGCGACCAAGGCCATCGCATTAGCTGGGAACGCTCGCAGGATACAAGGCAGGAAACCGCGCCAGTACGCTCTCCACCCGCCGCCCTCTCTGCCCACGGCGACAGCGGCGTCTCTCCATCGTCGAAATTTGCGCTCTCCGTCGCCCAGCGAGCCGCCCAGCGGATCCGTCACGATACGCTGCTTGATGACGTCGGACGGGTATGAGGTCACCCAGAAGACCTGGGCAGCCAGTCCGCCGGCCCAGAAGTTGATGGCAGGTGCAGAGAGATCTGTGTACTGTCTGAAGGCGCGCGAGAAGATGTCGTAGCTTCCCCAGAAGCAGAAGAAGAACGAGCGGAAGATCAAGGTCGAGCAGAGGCCGTGATAGAGCCCTGGTAGACCATGGGCACGCAGCTGTCGAAGTCGTTATTAGCCTACACCGGTCAGTCAGACGGAAATGGGTGGCCAGGAGCCGCTTACTATCTTGCGAGCACAGTCAATGGGGCCCTGGTAGAGCCGCTGCTTCTTGTCGGCAGCATACTGTATCTGCAGCCGGGCCTTGACATGCTCTACTGGCGCCGCGACGAAGCTGACCGTTGACCCGGCCAGGATGCCTGCGACTCCATGACCGAACGTTGACAGCTTGTCCGGCACCGTGGGACTGACGAACGGCAGCGCAGCTCGCAGCTCTCGGTTGGCAAAGACATGCTCAAACAGCAGCCGTCGGTACAGCGTCAGCGAGCCCAGCATCCTAACAAGCAAACCCAGCAGTCAAAAACAGTCAGCCATCCAGGTCCCATACTTATGTAGCCATAGAGTAAACCAGTGCGGTATATCGCATAGGACATACACTGAGTCCATGACCATCCAGCCCATCAGCGGCGGCGTGGCCCCCTTGTACAGTGCTGTAACTCCTTCATTTCGCACCGTCTGCAGCAAGCAGTCCAACGGGCCGGTAAACCGCGAGCTCTTCGTCGTCTGCAGCCGGACCTTGATGGTATCGAATCTTCAACCGTCAACCTCATCAACTCGTCATCTCCGGCGTCTTTCTGTGGTCATACGTACGGATGGCCGACTGTGACGTCCGTCTGTTAGCTACGACGGCTGCTCTTCCAGCACCGCGAGACCAGCTCGACTCACCTGTCAACTTCGCTATGCCTGAAAAGACCCCGGCCACAAAGCCCTTGTAGTCATGCTGGGCCTTTAGCTTCGTCTTTCCGGCTCCCAAGTCCTGCTGCACGACTCCCGCTCCATTACTCATGCTTCTGCTGTTGCTGATGCTGCTGCTGCTGCTGGTGATGGGTGATGCCGATGGTGTTGCAAGCAGCTGGAGGTCTCTGCCTGACGGGCCTGCGCCAGATCCCTTAATCAATACGCCGCCAGTAGTAGCTGCAGCTCGGATTTGTAGCGGGTAGCCAGCAGAGAGTCTTTGACATGTGTTCTGGGGCCGTGGATAGCTATTTCATTTCTCTTCTTTTCGGCTTCTCTCTCCAGCCGAATAGTTAGTTATTCGACTAGCGATGATTAAATAAGTGCGATATCGGTGTCTGACTCCGAGCTGAACGATGGACACGAAACGGATATTCCCTGCAGTATGTGATACTATTTTGAGTACGGAGAATATTATGGCCATTCTACTGCTATGTACTACTGGTTACAAGGCTAAAGATACAAGGGAGAGGTGGTGGTGGTAGCAGTGGTATTAGTGTAGTTGGCTGTAATAGATATTCATTCTCGTCTCTCCTAGGGCTATCATATCAGGGAAAACAAGTCTAGAAAAATGTATCATCGGTGTAAAGAAGAAAAAAAGGAGATAAACCTGAAACGATGTATGGGCTGGCAAAGACAGATGTAGCGAGGGGGTATAAAACATCCAGTCTTCAAGGAGAACGCTAATTAATATCACAAAATGTAGTCAGAAATAATAATAAAAAAGGAATAGTAATAAAGGTCCAATAAGAAGTGCAGCAGGGAGGTAAGGCACCAACGATCAGGGGGTGGTTGTATATAAAGATGGTTGTGTCGTGCCGTCGAGAGGATGAAATGAAGCGCGGGTATAGAGCAAAAGGTTTGGACCACACATAGACCAGCCATGTAGATAAGAAGGGAGTCAGTCAGATCCTTCGTTCGTTTTCGTTGATTTCCTGTTTTCCTTTTCCTTCTTAGTCCCTGGTTTACTTTTTATACCTCAGTTCGTGGTTTATTGGGTATCTTTCAAAATATATAAACCAAGGAGTCGTTGGGTCGTTGAGTCGTTGAGTCGTTGAGGCATCCGAACCTGACTCCATTCCTTCTAAAACGAAAGCAAAAAACAACTCCTGAATGAGCAAACGTCATGGGTCATTGAAAAAAGTAGGCCATCTAGACAGGCCGTAGTCAAGGCCCTGTGCTGGTCTATGAAACGGTCGGTTCGTATGTAAGTGGTGGCATAAGGTCGTAAGGAAATCGAGTCATGAGAGAAGTCCGAAGTAAAAGGGGGGAAGAAGAAAAAAGATCCGGAATAAAAAAAAAAAAAAGGTGGCATGGATTGATCAATTGATCCTCGAGGCGAGACGGTCCTGCTCTCGCATGATAAGCTGATCTAGCAGCTCAGTCCGTTCTCGAATGCCTGCGTGGCCCTGGCCATCTGCCGCCAGGATATCCATCGCTCCGGCAGAGAGGTATCCTTCTCCTTCCTCCTCCAGGGCCAGGGGCGTCACCGGACCCGGACTCCCTAGCGGTTCCAGCCGTGGTTTCGACGGTTTAGAAAACGTCGAGGACTGAGCTGAAGCGCGAGCTGAGAGGGCCATGCCGGCGACTAACTCGCGGTACTGCCGGAGAGCATCCCGGGAGGAAGAAGCGGTGGTCGAAGAGGATGCTGCGGGCGAAGACATCATTGCCGACGCGGAGGAGGGCCGGTATGTCTGGGGATGATGTGGATGATGCGAGTACATGTGAGATGAGGTAGCGGTGCCGTCAAAGTCGAACGCAGCCGAGGAGGCCGTCGAGCTGCCGGCGGTAGTCGACTGGTAGACGGCCGGATGGAAGCGAGGCAGGTTCTCGAGTCGAAACGAGGGCGTGCTCAGCGAAGCCGCATGGCGGGCGCGGGAGGACGAAGGGGAGGCGGAGGCAGACTCGGCCTGGACTTGGGCCATGGCCTGCGAGAGGAGCGAGGTGGGAGCGCGCAGGACGGTGGGAGAGCGGTCAGTCAGCATCCTGGCGGTCTATCCTTTGCTGTCTGCCTCTTGGGCGTGTGTGTATTCTGTGTTTCCTGTGTTCCGTGTGTTGTATCTTGTCTGCCGGCGTGTGTCGGGCGTCGTTTGTTTGCTGTCGTTCTGTGGAGGAGGAGGGGACGGCCGGCGGCTAAAAAGTAGTTACGTCGAACTGCGATGACGGGTAGCGGGTCGGGGCCAACGCTATTTTAAGGGGCAGGCTAGCGGCAGCGACGGGACGGCTGACGTGGGTGGCTGACAGGCGAATGAAGAAGAAGAAGAAGAAGAAGACGAAGACGACGATGAAGATGAAGAAGAAGACGAAGAAGAGACAGCGAGAAAGGCGAGGAGGCTAGTGTTGGTTATATCGTGAAGAAACATCCCGGGCTGTCATGCATGGATGGAGATGGGCGCATGCAGGCGCTGGCCAGGGAGGGCAGATACCTGCATGCAGACAGACGGACGGACAGACAGACAGACAGACAGATAGACAGCGCTGCTTCTCTGCGTCTTTTCTTCTGCCGCAGCCGTCGATGGCTATCACGCTGGGGGCAGAGGATGAGAGGCCTCCCGGAGCTGCTGCGTCTTGTCCGTTTGACCAGGGCGAGGTTGGAGCCGTGGGCCTCATGAGCTGCGGTCATCGTGGTGTATAATAATAGCATCTTATACGGCTGATCAGTTGCTTGCTTCTTCTACGACTACTTACTTCTTTGCTCTCAGACAGCGACTTAGCGACAAGTTACATCCTCCTGTTGAGGTTTGCCTGCCAGTCAAATCCATGTCTATTCGTCTACTAATTTGGTTACAGGACGCAACCAACGGCTGTCTCGATAGATGATGACATGATCCTGCTTGACGAGCTAGATCTTTTCAAGCACGGCATTGCACCTTTGGGGACGGAAAGAAGACGCATTGTCACCAGTCATTACGATCCAGCCTGTTGTGCTCGTATTCCCGTCTTGAGGCACCTTCATTTTCAAGGCCGGGCAAGCTCCTCTGACGAGAAATACGGGCAGACAAGCTAGTCATTGCTGGCCGGGTCAGTCAATACATGTTTTTGACACCGGGAAAAGGAAGCAATATTTGCTCAACTACCCAGAAGGTGTTCGTTCTTCCACTATTTGCTTGTGCTGATGCTGATATGGGGAAATGGTCTTGCGTCAGAGCCCATTTGATATACCCACCTTCATATCTCACCACGAGTCTTGGGCCCAAAAATAAAGTCCTTCCGTGAAATTATGAACGTTAAACGAGCTGATGGGATGCGATTCCGGAGTCCTTTGGATCCATCAGTCTCGGAGTTGATTACCCTCCGGTATAGAAAAGCATATGACTGGAACTTGAGTGCAGCCCCTGTGTTTGACCTGTGGTTTTCCTCGAACGGTGGGACGCCCACTCATCGATCATGTCTATCCAGGAGGAGTTGCTACTTATACTCTGGCGTTCCTTGTTTGAGCCCTTCTATCAAGCGAAACGGCATCAACCCAATTAAGCCGGCTCCTCAAGTTTCACCCACTCACAAATGTCATTGACGATCCCTGGTCTCTGAACCGTCCTCTGCAGCCCACATCGGATGTATGATCCTTGCCTGCGCGGGGGTGTCTCGCGCCCGCCCCTCCTGATGCGTTGGCTCCATGCATGTATCCATGCATCAACTCTCTCCGTCCCTGGCTTCGTCGTCTTTTTATTATTTATTTTATTTTTTTTTTATTTTTAATTCCCGCAGGTTCGTCCCATCAGTGGGTATCAGGGTTGGCGCGGCTGGACATGTTTTACCTGAACCGCTCATTTTCTGCGGACATTCTCCGTATGGCATGCCGCGAGCGAACCTTTGGGATGAATAACAATCCCAGTTTCGTACAGCTGGACATCGTAGATAACTGTAACATTTGACCGTCTCGACAGATTTGGTACCGTGTCCATCCGTATCGTCAGATTATCACAGGTGGGGGTCAGTGGACCGGTGTCGTGGCCGTGAAGTAACTACTTCATCTCTGACATCAGGCCATAGTTACCTGATGAGAATAGATATCTGGTCAGAACATATATCTGAATATGGACAATTCGTTAGCATCAACGTCTTTCCAGCGGCTGAGCAGCCTGAGAGTCAACGTCTTGGATTACGAAGACCTATTAGTTAGCGAGTCAAATCATCCATGTGAGTTAGTTAATAACTGGCGAATTGTAGATTTCAAACCATCTTTGATACCCAATGTAGCTTCTACGGAGCGCGTCGTTGCGTCATGTCTCTGCCAAATCTCCCCTGTGAGATACTACTTGTTATTGCAGAGTTTGCAGAGCATGAGCGAGACATCAACGCTCTGGTTCAAACATCGGCCCACTGCTACAGCTGCCTCAACACCTTTCTTTACCGTCACAACATTCGAAGTTCTGGTGGCACTGGTCTGGTGTCGGCAGCTGGCAATGGAAGCTTGAGGGCTGTCCAGAAATTCCTCGATCTAGGTGTAGATGTCAACTGGAAGAGGGGCCCCAGCGGCCCAACCGCCCTGCAAAGTGCAGCTCTCGGAGGCCACCTTGAGGTCGTGCGACATCTGCTGAAGATCAAGAGGATCAACCTACGCTATGTCAATGACCTGGGCTCCGTGCTGGGCTATGCAGTTTGTGGCGGCAATACCTCAGTGGTGAAATTTCTCCTGAGAGATTCCCGTATCAACCCAAATATCAAAAACACCAAACACTGTGCCCCAATTCACCAGGCAGCAGATACCGGTAATCCTGATATCATGAAGCTTCTTCTTGCCAATAAACGGGTGGACCCAAACCTCAGAGGTGAATCTCGACGCACCGCCTTACACATTGCGGTCAGAAAGGGACATCATGCTGTTCAGAAACTGTTGGCCGAACACAGCGGCGTCGACCCCAATTTAAGAGCCGGTCCACTTGATCGAACACCGCTACTCGAAGCCATCAAGGCTCCGGCCGAAACCCGTCCAGAAGATACCTGAGGACACTGTTGAGTTCGGGGAGGATCGATATTGAGATGGCCGACAATAGGCTGCGCTCTGCCTTGTCGTTAGCTGCCAAAGCCAAGTCGACCGCTTATATTGAAATACTTCTTGAGTGGGGCGCAGACATTGAGAGTCTTGACGGCTTCCAGTTCACACCTCTTTTGACAGCCTCTAGGACGCCTGGCGACCTCTGTGACAATGTAGAGTTGCTCCTTAACTCCGGTGCAGACTTACGTGCTGTAGACCGGGAAGGAAGGACTGCTCTGGCGCTGGCTGCTCAATATAACAATTTAAAAACGGTCGAATTATTGCTCAGGCATGGTGGCAGTTATGGGCCCGAATGTATGTGACTATGGGGGCTTTACACCATTGATATAAGCGACGTGCGAAGATCACTTTCGCGTCATGTCAGCCCTGGTAAGCTGCGACAGGATGAACGTCAACTTCAAAGACAACTTTGGAAACACTGCGCTACACTATGCAACGTACCGCACCTCCATACGCTCGGCCGAAATATTACTCAGAAGGGAGGAAACCGACATAAATATCGAAAATAAAGAGGGTCTATCGCCTATAAAACTGGCGGCAACCCATGGATCGGCCTCTCTCGTTGCAATGTATACCCGTCGTGGAACAATGTCAATAGCAAAGGCCGTAGAGGAGCTAAGCCGCTTATTATAGCGATCAAAAGCAAAAATACAGATGACCAAGGAATGACACCATTGAAATGGGCAAGTGAAGTGAAGGATCAGTCCATAGTTGAGCTCCTCCTTGAGAAATTGGACATTGATACTCCCGCCGTTTGTTACACTCGATGAGATTCGGTCACATCGAAGCTGTAAAAATATTATTTGGCGAGAATGGAGACTGACGTTAACCAGGGAGATAATATTGGGCACGCCAATATCAAGAACAGTGCTTTTGGGTAAAGCCGCAGTCGTGGATATCTTGCTAGCTAAGGATGGAATCTAACTCAACCCGAGAACCCACAATAGGGGCAAACAGTTGTCTTCTCGTAGCACAACATGGTCGGGTTGAAACCGTAGAAATAGCACTTGCACAAGATGGGGTTGAAGTTGAAGAAAGAGATGACGAGGGGCCAACACGGTTTGCACATGCTGCAACAATTTTCTAGGAAAGAAATCTTAGTTGTTTTTTCTGCTCTTGCAAATGGTAGATCAGATCTTAACTGAAAGGATAATGCTGAGAGAACACCGTTGGCGTTTGCTAGCATAGTTGGTAATATTGAAAATGTGGAAAATGTAAAAGGGCTTGATTTAATAGTCTGGAATTGATCTTCATGCCAGAGGCAATGACGAAAAATCATCCTTAGACCATGCGGGGACGTCTTAGGGTAGTGATAAAATTGGGCTAGTTCTGGCGGAAGCCATAGAGATTGAAATTGATATTGAAAGACCTGGATCTCCAATAGACTAAGGAACTATTAGTTTATTGCCGCCGTCATTTAAATGGATATGAAAAGATAAACATTTTTCGTCTGGCAAGTACTTGTCGGCCCGGCACTGTTTTAAAGGAGTACCAGAGGTAGATCATATTCAAGACCGGCCTCGTCCCTTGAAGATATGAGATTCGTTTTCATTCTGTAGAGACTGCGGGAAAAAACGCTGTCTAGAAGGTATGAGTGGGTGAGGCAATGCCAATGAGTATTTTAGACGGAGACGGTTGATAGTTTGCTAGGTAGCGAAAAGGTACCTGCATGGTATAGATAGGCAACGTGTATTATCTTGCTGCTTTTCAGCAGTAAATGGGAAGTTCCGTTACAAAACTCAAGTGTTTTCTAGACGGGGAGGAGGCCTGTGTCATATCAGAAATAGTATATATAGACTCATATTTCTTTCCTACCATCCACTTTCCAGATATCAAGCTCTGAATAACATTGGTGCCATGATGGCATTCCTTCTTGTGGGAGCCGTCCGCTATTATCGTTGCAACAACAGCTCAAAAAAAAAAAAGTACGCCGAAATCAACTATCATTTTTATGACGTGGAAGACTGTCGAGCAGTCATTGCCGGGAGGAGTCCGTTAAATGGCACGTCGGAAAACACCCTAACCGGGTAGCAGGCAAGAGCCGGTCCAAACCAAGCTCTTCGGCGGGAACTCGGGATAGACAATGCCTTCACTAGCGACGATAACACTGTCATAAGGGAGTTTGTAGCTCTTGCTACAAAGCAGATGATTCTCCACAGCACGGACTGGGGGAAATTAGCTACTCTTGCAGCAACTACCCTTGAATCCTTAGCCTTTTTCGAGCAGATAGGCAATGCAGACAATAGCACTGCAATAGGCACAGTTCCCATCTCAAGTGTGGCACAAGTGTTGTGCCTCACAGTCGTTCTAGGCATAGTCTTCAAAAATATGTTGACAAAACCCAGTATAAAGACGTACTTAAATTGGCGGAAGATATCAATAGAATTTGGATATCATCCAAGAATCCAGGTGGAGGAAAACGATCAAGCTGTCAAAGCGAGACGTCATCTCATGATACCCTCAAGGCAATATTTCTGAATATCCAAATTAGTAGCCAGCTTCAACCCCATTGAATCTTATTCTACCATCTTTCGTGACGATGCGGAAAATAGTTCTGCGAGCTTTTCTAGAGGTCAATTTTCTCACAGGCAATCGCTCACTGGAGTTCAAACAGGTGCTAGGAACTCAGCCCAGGCATTTCTGCAAGAAATGTCATATCTGAAGCTCTGAGGCTCTACCCACCGCGTTCATAGTCATTTTCAAGGCCCTAGCAGCAACAAACGAACTATTTTAGCAACAGATATAGAAGTATGCCATCGCAACGTCAGGGTTTGGGGTCCAGATGCATTGAAATTTGCTTCTGGTAGGTGGAATCATCTCGATGAGCAACAAAAGGCTAGCTTCGCGCCGTTAGAAGAAGCTGTTCTAATGTCCTGCGAAGCCTTTGGGTGACGAAGGATTGCTCTTCTGGTTGGGGCCCTCCTCTGTCATTATACCGAAAACTTGGAGCTGGGCAGTGTTCCTCTGGAAAGTATGGATATGGTAGCTGAGGGGGAATATCTGGATCGGAATGCTTGAGCGCAATTGTACGGAGTACCTCGCCAGGAATATTCGGGTTTGAGGTTCACGCTTCTGCACGGAATTGAATAACCAATGCTTTTTTCGCCCTGCAGGCTGAAACACGGCCGGCGCTTGTCCATCAGTCCCACTCTACATGCTCCCGGGCTTTTGTCCACAACAATGGATTCCACCAAGTGGCAAGCTAACCGCCGGGCTATTCTCGGATCCCTTTAGCCATTATTAAGTGAGCAACCATGTCCCTTGCGTGCTTCAGATTTTATTCTGGGCTGTTCATGGATAGTCGCTGTGAACTTGCATGCCAGACACTCTTCATCTGGGGGTATCTGACCGCGCCCATCTTTTCCATGCTCTCACTCCACAACCCTGCATATTCATGCACGGTCATATTCCCAAACAGCAGCATTCAATTTTGTGTAATATTATCATCCAAGAAGTCCCGCTATATGCATAAATAGTGTTACAAAGGAGAAGTTGGGATCCATGGGCCTGGTCGAGTTCAGATGCCCGACTTGCCCAGGCGGGTGCCCAGGTGGTGGTTGGGTCACGTGTTGTCTCTTCGTCGCTTGGCCGGACAATTTTTTTTTTCTTTTTTCTTCCTGCTTGCTTTTTTCACAGGGTTCAGACGGAGACAAAAAAAAAAAAAAAAAAAAAAATTAGATATTGATATCTTTAAGACCTGAAGTGTTCCGTAATTGAAGAGCTTTGCTGGGCGCATATAATAATAACTGCAGCTGTTGTGGCTCACGAGCAGTATATGTATACCCTGAATGAGACGAACCTGTGGAAATTCCAGGCATCACGCGAAAGCTCCCAGTACCAGAGGTATCTCTCCTAAAGAACCCTGACCTCCGAATCCGCTTTTGCTCCGAATATCTTCTATTCGGGACTTAGTTTTGTTGGGAGGGCTGTTTGTATAAATTCGTCTTGCCCTGGTTCTCAGAAAGCGCACATCCTCGGATTCCTCCTTACCCCGGGAGTGTGCTACTCTGGAGAGCGTATACCGGTATATATTCTTCAGGACAGCCCCTCCGCTGCTAACAATCAAGGCATAATGACGGCAGACACAAGACCGTTACGCGTTGTCATTATAGATCATTATGACTCTTACACAAATAACATCCTGCAACTCTTACAAAATACTTGGAGCGTGGCTGTCATACGCTTTGATGAGTTCACTTGGTTGGTCTCTTATCACCTCGTTACTTGAATCCACTGACAAAGCATATATTAGGGATACGTTTAAGGAATCAGTACTTCCTCATTTGGATGCTATAATTCTCTCCCCTGGTCCTGGAAGCCCTGACAAGGAATCAGACTTCGGCTTTAACTCAAAACTAATCAGAGAAGTTAACATACCAATCCTGGGGATATGTTTGGGCCACCAAGGGATTGGTACAGCTTTTGGAGCAAAAATTATACATGCACCAAACATCAAACATGGCCAAGTGTGCAAAATTCACCATAACAAAACTGGAATCTTTGAAGGCCTTCCCGAACAGTTTGAGGGTGTAAGATATAATAGTCTTGTACTTCCATTCAATGGTTCGAAATATCCTAGTTAAATGGTCACTTCTGGAAAGTGTTACTGATTTCGATTTATAGGCTTACCTAAGGAGCTAGAATTAACGGCCTGGACTTTCGATGAAGGTGTACCAGTGGTAATGGGCATTAAGCATAGCAGTCGCCCTATCTACGGAACTCAATGGCACCCCGAAAGCGTGTGCTCCAAATATGGTCAGCACATCATGGATAATTTCCGGGACAAGGTCCTCCAGTTTTGGGCTATCCAGCCTTCGGACATTAGCACTACTCACCACTTCTCAAGTACTGGATTACTACCGGATTCTATCCTGAGCAAAAGCGCCATTGTTAAGGAGGCCCAAGGTACATTCAATCCCCAAAATGAAAGGCCGTGGTCAATAGCAACAGATGGTGTACGTCCGTATTACATACAAGGTACAAGCCTTGGAAAAGGGGTTGCACCACAAACTGTTTTTGATACTATAATTCGAAATTATTCTTTGGATGGCGAAGCTTGGCTAGACAGTGCCAGGGTCAGATAGATCTATCCGATTCACACCTTTATCAAACATACCATATACTAACTTTGTGCCTAGGTCCGTGATGCGCATTCAAGAAATTCGTACTTGGGCATTGGTGCATTTACGCTATGCTACTGGTCAGAAACTGGAAAACTCTCTGTCTCTCAACAAGGAAAGCAAGTCAAGTCAGAAAAGCTTACGACTTCCTATTGGTCATGGCTCGACCAGTTCCAGCGGACCATCATTGAGCAAAATGTTGCATCTGTACAGCCAGATCTACTCGGAGAGGATACCCAAGCGGGCCAGCCATTGCTTCAGGTTGGACTGATTGGGTACTTCGGGTATGAGATGAAACGTGAATCCCTACCTGGTTACAGATATAGGAAGTCAACTGAGAAGGAAAACACCCATTCTGTTCCGGACAGCCAGCATCTCTTTACCAACGTTGTTCTGAGGCTGGACAATTACACGGGTGAATGGATGGCCTTCGGTCTGATTCGTCGTGGAGAAGAAGACCCAATCGGAAAATTTATCGGTGCCCATTCACCGATTGGTCTTACCCAGCATGAATATGAATGTATTCTTTCGAACACTCGTGAACTATTTGCCGCGCCACCCTCACCACCATATACTCTCCCAACATCTTTACCCAGCTTTGAAGCCATTGACGATGAAAATTCATATAGCCAGAAAATCCATGCTGCTCAGCAGGCTATAAAAGAGGGTGAAACATACGAAGTCACATTGACCACGCGATTCAGAGCACACTGCCCAGATGTGGATCCCTATTCACTATACCTATCACTTCGAAGCCGCAACCCCGCCCCATACTCTGCATACATCCACTTCCCGGTTAGCGACACAACTATACTTTCCTCTTCTCCTGAACGATTTATATCGGTCGACGGAGATGGAATTGCAGAAATGAAGCCGATCAAAGGCACCCTAGCAGTAAGTCCGGACCAAGTGGAGGATGAACGGAGAAAGATTCAGCTTGCCACCGACGTTAAGGAATTGGCCGAAAACTTAATGGTATAAGATTCAGCCCCTAACTCTATTAAATGTTTCATTATTACTCCCCTTCTAACTGACCCCCTGAGTAGATTGTTGATCTGATTCGCTCCGATCTGCACAATATTTCCCCCTCCAAGTCGATACAGGTTCCAAAGTTACTTCAAGTTGAAAGCTATGAGACTGTACATCAGGTGAGCTTTTCCTAGTTCATAAAAGTCAGTCCTACTTTGTCTAATTCATTTCATAGCTTGTTACCACCATCCAATCTCAAATCGCCAAAAATGTTGGGGGTGTCAAAGTTGTGGAGCGTTGCTTCCCACCAGGCTCCATGACCGGCGCCCCAAAGCTTCGGTCAGTGAAGATAATTGATGAGCTTGAGGGAGAACCAGAACGTGGAATATATTCTGGCTCCTTAGGTTATATGTGCGCCAGTGGAACTATTGATCAGTCCGTCATAATACGCACTATAGTCAAAAATGGGGCTGACCTTGAGCTCGGCGCTGGAGGCGCCATCACCTGGCTAAGTGAACCTGATAAAGAATGGGACGAGGTTATGGTAAAAGCGAATGCGGTTGCCAAGGCGCTCCCTCAACAGAGCTAATAGATGCAGGCAAGCTTTGAATCCTAATCAACTGCCCATCAGAGGAAGTATACATATGACTAACTGTCGTACCTCGGGTCATCTGCAGTTGGGTTAAATGCTTGACTATTTTGTTATTCCGATCAATTTTTCAGGATCACGGCAGGTTTTACTGAGGTTCATGTGTTACGCATATACCCTGATAGAAGCTATTATGAAGAGGTATCATTACTTCCCATTCAGTAATGAATGTACATAATTAGACGTGTTCTGTATAATAGGCTTCATAATTAGAAAGCAGACTCATCCCAGCGAAGAATGTAGACCAGATTGACAATGGTATCAAGAAAAGAAAGAAAGAAACACAATATCCACATCATCAGTAGATATATATGAACTCGTTATTCTGCTTATCAGTCAAGTCCTGGAAAGCATTCTCTCCCAGCCGTTTCCGTGAAATTATTCTGGCGGTGTCGATTTCGCCAGTTCTTTCGTCCTGACTTTCAGAGCCCTGGGACTCCGCAAACTCCAGGCCATCATTTTCCTCATCGAACTCTGCGTATTGCTCATTCATGGATACATCCTTGATGTTAGCCTTTTTCCCCTCTGCTGCTCTTGATCGCCTATGTAATTTGTTGAGGACAACTAAGTTCGCAACTTGAGCTAGTATTACAACGGCGAGAGCAATGAATGATATCAGAACCGAGCGCAATCCATTTCTGTATCGAGGTGAATCTTCCTTGACGAACAATAATGGCCCAATGATATTGCCAGTTGACGATCCGGCGTTGTATAGTGAGGTGATTATTGATTGTTTGGTAGTACCTGCGGTATTTCCAACAATCCAGGTAACAATGAGTGGATTTCCGCCAAAGATACAAGCAAGCAAATAGTATGCCAAAACTAACACACTATGAGAACTGCCTGGTGGGAGAGAATATAGCATTGAAAGCCCTGTAATAACCGGAAGTATCAGGAGGATCAGAACCGCAGATTTTCTCCGATGTTTTTGGGCAAAATATGACGCCAGCATAATAACAATAACTTGAACTGCTCCAAACGGCATGTTGAGAAGTGATGTGATATATTTGTCGTACCCAAAGCCGTTGAGGATGAGTGGCCCAAACGTGTTTGTGACGGCCGCACCGATGTTGAGAAGCAAGCTCATTGCAATCCATAAGTATGTTTTCAGTTCAAAAAGTGCTTCAAATACATGTGACCACCTGAACTCCGTTGCCCTAGTCCCCGTTTGATTGGCACGGAGGCGTTCGATGGCTTGTTCGCGCTCATGCTCCGTGAGAAAACGAGCAGAAGGGATATCATTATCCAGTTTCCAATAAACGAATGGGGCCGATATGATAGTGACCAGTCCGACAAAGATAAATATTCTGAAAATATGTCAGTAAATCAAAGGGTGTCATGATAAGGGTAAATACGCACATTCTCCATGACCGCATTGTTTTAGTTGGTATGTGACCCAAACCGTAGGATAACGCGGAGGCAACAATGGTAGCAATGCCATTTGTACCATACCAAGCTGCGACTCGAATGGGCTGCTCGGCTCTGCGATACCATTGACTGGTGATGACACTGAAAAGGGGGAGACATCCAGCTTCGAAAAGGCCCAAAAAGAATCTTGTGGCAAGCAAACCCCCAAAATTATTACAGACGCCCATCGCAGCTTGTGCCAATCCCCAGCCGAGAACCAAGGTTGGCGTTAGGATCCGATGCGGCACTTTGACAATTAAAATCATTGAAAAAGGTTGCCATGCCAGTTGGGCTATGGGGCCAATTGAACCAATAAGTGAATACTGGTTGCCAGAGAGATGTGTATCTTCAATAAGGCCAAAGATTGCTCCATAGCCTAGAACAGTTTTATCAAGAATCTGATGAAGATGTTCGACGTCGGATAAGCATAGTATTCCAATGATAATACTGAAGCCTGTCAAGGGGTATTGCCAAGCAGGCATTTCATACCTGCAAGAAGTAAACCCAGACAAGAATAGCAAGGATGACTTTATCTGTTTTCCTCCGTATTTTCCTATTCTATAGTCAGAATAATATTAGTCCAGGTGACTCGTACACTAATAGTACTGAAGAATGTACTGAATACGCATTGGGAACGCGGCTATTGGGCGGAATACGTACCTCTTCTTCAATAAGCTGGACGCGCCTATTGCCAATAATGGCCAGGGCAGAATCGCCTTGACCCATCTCGTCTGCCTGAGGGATCAGTGGCTCTCTGAGAGGATCATTTTTGTCCATTGCGATTCCGTTTCTGAGGTGGAGGTGACCAGCAGCCTTTGACTGTTGTGATCCAACAAGTTAGTTCACCAGTAGTAAACAGATTGGGCGCTGCTATCAAAGAGCAGATATAGATTTTAAAGCCGACCTGCAGATAATCATATCAAGAATTCATCATATTCCACTGAACCCATTATAATAAAAGAGACATATCAGTTTTGTTCAAGAATAACAAATTGCAATGAATGAAAGCAACAAGATGTACTCCGTAAATGCTGTGGCTGTTTTGACAATGGTCGTCTTGGATACCTCGGCGCGTAGTCACGTGAAAGTTAGTGGAGTTAGCTCCCCTTAAAATATCCACATGAGCATTATTGCACCCAGAAGGCATCAAGATGGGACGGTCAACTGGAACCTATGTATCCAAGTTAGTGGAACCGCACAGAGACTTTCGGAAATTTTTCTCCAGAGTAGCACTCGTGGCTATAAAACGATCGATATGATATATGTATGCTATCGTGGTAGGTTAAATAGCATTCGATGACAGAATTTCCAATTCTAGTATCAAACGGCTTGCTTACTAAGCAGTGGTACGATCTGGCTGGATGTTTATGTAATCAATAGTAAAATCAAACTGGTTGTCAAAAGGGTTATAAATAAGGTTACACTTCCGCTGATTCCGAAAGTTTATTTTTACCAAAGGTACAAAGTGGGCTTTTGGCTGTAGTTATTGTGTAAAGAAAACGAGAAAAAAGGGATATAAAATAGGAGAAACATTCAGAAAATAGAGGAGAATAATAGCAAAAAATGAATCAATGCAGTATTATTCAACAACAACATTTATTGTACTAAGAATTTTACCATTCACTTCTTAGTATTCGTTTCTTCCTTTTAGCCGCCCAGGCTTGACTCTGATTCCTCGTCCATTTTTTCCATTTTTTTGTGGGCTGCACCTAAGGATTGCATCCCACGGATGAACCTGGAACTAACAATAGCAAGACTGCCGGTTAGACGGTTCGGGAGCGGTGTCCACATCGATATATGTGTCAAGAACAATGTAACAGTTTTCTTTGGGCAAGGCTGAACGGCAGGAGTTCACTCACTGATCGCACAAGGAGGAGAGAGAGAATTAAGCGCCATGCAAGGACCCCAAGGTTTCGGATTTTAACACGCTTGGACCATTCCACACGGCAATGGCCCCCAATGTACTTGGTGGATCCAAAACTCTCACGGAACGCCAATGGGGTTCTCTTTTTTTTAAGCGCTAATGGATACCCTGAGAAACTCATCCAACCACGAAATCACCAACTCCGATGCTCGTATAGTTAGCCTATACCCGACTCAAATTAATTAGGTTGCATTGATATTGAGGATCATCTCCGAATCCTTGCATCAAAACCATGAGTTAAACACCCCTTGTGCATGCTTCAGCACTCAAACTAGTGGCTACCACGGCGTAGCGAGCAGCGAGCATGGATGACATTTACTCCAAGGTTTCTAAGTATTTTTAGAATCTCTATGGAATACCTCCAAACGGTTCCATAACTAACTCGTCATCTCTGTAAGCGCCAGAGAAACAGCTAAATTTGGAGCCCCCCTCTTGAACACAGGGGGATGTTTTATCTTCCAAGTTCATGCAAGGGCACCTTTTGCTGGCGGTTACTCCGCCCTTGACGCATGAAAAATTTTGATTCACTTTTTCGTTCTAGGAATTCGACTCAAAAGTTGCTATATAAGTCAAGATGCCTTCCAATACTAATTCATTACTCAAACATTCAACTCCAACTTCTGGCAAGTCAATGTCCGCTCCAGGCCCCCAAAACCACATTCTATATCTTTATATCCCCTCACTGATCGTATTATTATCGGGTTATATCTATCATCTGATTGAATAACGCTTTTGCGAAATATTGATCCTCATATATTCGTCTAGAACTCGCGCCAAATGCCGGATTCTGGACCTGCGCTTAGCCCCTCCGTGGAGGCTGAGATCGACACAGCATCACCACTGAGGTTAAGAAGCACCCAAGTGCAGGACCAGCATCCATTCAAGACAAATCTTGAGCTCGAGCGTCAACTACGTGGTAGAGATAAATCCAGAAATAGCTACCTTGAATTGCAAAGGTATATCCAATCGGCAGTCCTACCCCACAAAAACCGCCACGACATTGACGAAGACTGTGCCCGGCTTAGCTCTAATCCTGATGAAAAAGATAATGGCACCCCCGATACCCATAAGGGACTTTCAAACAGCAGACCTGAAGAGAAAGATCCTAGCCAGACAAGGGGGAATGAGCACTATATTGAACCTGAAAAACGGGCAGTGTGGCTTCCAAAGCAGACGAAGTTGCCCTTTGAGTGTTTCCCTGATGATATTTCCATCGATGGCAATGATGACGATACCGAGGAATCTGAACGGCCAAATCTACACCATTGTCGATTCAAAAGCCCATTTAGTCAAGTGCGGAATTATCCCACCGGGGGCCCCCCTCCAAGACGCACCTCCTTGCGAACTGTGATTCTTAGCCCAGCGCTCTCTCCTACACAAATCGCAGCTGATATTAGCTCGTGGAGTGAGAATAATGAAGAAGAGGAGGAGGAGGAGGAAGAAGAAGAAGAAGAAGAAGACGACGAAGACGAGGAGGAGGATCACTCTTGTTCGGACCAGATTCGACAAATGGAACGCCGTGATCAAAGTATGGAAGAGAAATACCCAATTCTGGCCGGTCCTAAAATTCCAACATTACAAAGATCCGATGCTTTCTGGAAAATAAAGCCTCCCGAAGGACATAATCTGTTCCGAAGCCTTGTCAATGGTTTCATATCCCTGCCTCAGGCCCTTTTGAGCGTGGAGGACGACATAATCCAAACGCTGCAATATCCCGTCAAAAAGGAAGATTTATATTTCGAGTTAGGGCAACGAGAATCGGAAATACAAGCCATTGTAGCCTCCCATTGTGGACTACCGAGTCCCGATCATGTGTTTGTCTCAAATCCTACTACAGGAGAGACTTGGCATCATGGTCGTTTCAATCTTTGTATCCCTGTGTATGTTGCTTATCCGGGGGGCGAGGAACCAACACCACTAGCATTCAAGCTCCCATTGCCGTATATGGTTGGCGAGGAAGAATTTCCTGGAAATGCAGAAGAGAAGTTACGAACAGAGGCAGCAACCCATATTTGGGTCAGTGAAAATTGCCCAGATATTCCAATCCCAAAACTCTACGGGTTTGGGCTTCCAGGCGGACTCAGTGTACGTATGCAGTATATCCTGCCCGCTATTCCTGGTGTTTGAATAACACACTAACAAGCAGATTCCTTGATGCATAACAGTACTTCAAGCCAGAGTGTGTTACAATATGGCAACGCATAAAAACATATGCATACCGTATCTTCCACCGTCTCTTCCTTGGTAACTCAGATTTCAGTCAATATATTCCCCAGAATCGCACTGCGCTTCTGAACCATGGCTATATGTTAACCGAAAGGATCATGGTCAACGATGAGTTAAGGCCGTTGCCCGACAGACTTGGAATGCGCCATAACGACCTTCAGTTACATTACGAGAAATTTATTCAGAAATCGAAGACGCAAAATCTGTACCGCAGTTTTGCGAAGGCCATGATGTCACTCGCAAATATTCCACAACAACGAATTGGCTCCTGGACTATTGACAATAATGGCCGACTATCGTTATCTAATCGCCCCCTATTTTCTCGCATCAGCCGGTTTGAGAATTTAGGAATTCCGAGTGGTATTCCGCGTGACACCACCTACATCAGTACAGATAGCTTCTACAACGACTGCATTGGTATCCATGACAACCGTATTGACTACCAGAAGAATATTTTACCCAACGAGGTAGAAGCTTTTGAGACTGTTTCTACCATAGTTTTCATGAGATCCATATTACCTCAAGTGGTGGATACTACTCTCCGCCATGGCCCATTCGTCATGCAACTAGGAAGCATGCCTGTTCAAAATATTCTGGTTGACAAAGAGTGGAATATCAAACAGTTCATCGAGGTTCAATCTATATGCTCTTTACCTATAGAACTAATGTCACCACCTTCCTGGATAACAGGAAAGGACATCGACAAATTATTGTCTACAGAGGATGACCGGCTCCAGATATGCTATAGGCAATTTACCCATACCCTCCGGCACGAAGAAGCCAAACGACCTCTACTCCCAAACGGGAAACTTCACTCTGACACTCTTATTGATGGGCTGCATTCCTCGAAGTTCTGGCTTCTCCAGGCGTTACAATCCTCGGGGAACCCACTACACACCTTTAGACGTGTGAAAGGTTATAGAGACAATTACGCTGGGAAAGGCAAGCCGCTTGCGGCAGCGGCATTCAGGCCTCAGATTTATGACTACCTGAAGTACAAGATCGCGTCATACGTCGACTACCGGAAAGATGTGCAGAAACTATTCAACGGTGAGTATGGACGAGTGTATGACGAAGAAGAGCTTGATTATATTCGACGTCGACCTATAGTACCCGAAAGAAGGTAGTGAAAACGAGTTATGGTCCTACTCTTTTCCTTAGTTATCAATTTTTATGTCCTTTGTCTAAAAAAAAAAAAAAAAAAAAATAAACTGTCCTTAATTTGCTGTTTATTGTTTATGTTTATGAGAGATGATTATGATAGCAATTCCAGTTTACACAATGATGTTCCAATTCCATCTTCTACCTAGTAGTTTGAAGATAGGTAGCCCGACTACTTGTCTGATTTTACCCCTGAGGTTCTATGTCTGTACCCAGTGATTGACAAGACACATCACAGCATAATGCTTTGTGACCACTCCAGCAAGAAAATCCACATCCTGCACTGTCATACCTGCAGATATTCTGACCCTTGCCACATCTACCGTGGCAGAATGGGGCATTTCCAAGCCAACGACATCCATTCGGCGGTTGACAGCGTGTTGTTAAATTTGTATCTCTAGCTAAAACCGGTATTAGCATTTTCAGTATATGACAAGGACAACTATGCTGATTGGATCATACGAGATGCAGCAGCAGATACAAGGTTGATGAGAAGACTCGATGCTGCAGGGAACCGCATACTTGGATGATATAGGCTCAATTGGAGTAAGTGGGTGTATATATAGGGATGGAACAGGAGTTGTTACAACTTCGTAACTAGTGTATTCTTGGTCGTCTGGATATGTTGGACAGTTGCTGAAGATCAAGGAGCTTCTCGAGCTTGCAGCTCCGGCAGATATTTATATCACCATTTTGCAAGCCAGCACGTATTAAATGGACGTAGTCTCGTAGTGGTGGTGTTACAGGCTGCCCTGAAAACAAACAAACGGGCCCTAGACCCGACCACTAACGTTGTTTGCTAAACCAGGCCGTCCGTAATAATAATGATGATAATGATAATAACAGCAATAATATTAGAAAAAGCCAGTCTCTCGTATATCGACGGGTGAAGTGTGGCGAACGCTTACAAGGGTGGCTGGCTCGGCAAGAGGGTCAGTTAGCCGACGAGACCGCGTGAGTCCACAATTTCCCCATGTTTCTCGGCGCTTTGGTGAGATCGGCTATTTACTCTCCCAACCATCTGAAGAGCAGGTACAGAGATATACCTAGACAGGCGAATATTTGACTATAGCTCTTAGTGATTGATCTTTCCTAGACTCCGTTATAAGATGTTCCCTCGAGTTCCATCCGCGGGAGTTTGGTGTCCGGCGGTGACTTTTTTTGACCCAGCAACGGATGAACTTGATCTACCTGCACAAAAGGAGTATTATGCCTATCTTGCACGCTCTGGACTCACTGGGCTGGTCATTCTGGGTACAAATGCAGAGGCCTTCCTACTCACACGCGAAGAGCGGGCACAACTCATCAGCACGGCCCGGGCAGCTGTTGGCCCAGACTACCCTCTGATGGCTGGGGTCGGCGGCCACTCTACCCGCCAGGTGCTGCAGTTCATCCAGGATGCGGTCACAGCAGGGGCAAACTACGTCCTTGTGCTCCCACCAGCATACTTCGGCAAGGCAACTACACCAAAAGTGATCAGGGCGTTCTTCAGAGAGGTCGCAGAGAGTTCCCCGCTGCCAGTGGTTATTTATAACTTCCCTGGGGTGTGCAATGGAGTTGACCTCGATTCGGAGATGATTACAGCAATCGCACGAGACAATTCGAATGTTGTTGGGGTGAAGCTTACCTGTGCCAGCGTTGGGAAAATCACCCGGTTGGTGGCAGTGCTAGCTGCAGACAGGTTCTCCATATTCGGTGGACAGGCAGACTTCTTAATTGGGGGGCTGAGTGTGGGTTCGGCAGGATGCATTGCAGCGTTCGCGAACGTCTTTCCCAAGACTATATCAAACGTGTATGAGCTGTATAAAGCAGGCAGGGTCGAAGAAGCATTGAAGCTGCATCAGAAGGCGGCGTTAGCCGAATCCCCGTGCAAGTCTGGGATTGCCACGACCAAATATGCGGCAGCAGTCTTCAGTGCAAAGGCAGCTGGGATCGAAAATGCTGAAGAAAGGATGAGACCACGTCGGCCATACGAACCGCCGACCGACGCGGCAAAGGAGAATGTGAAGAAAGTGATGGCCGAGGTAGCGCTGATCGAGCAGAGTCTCTAGGCGGCTCCTCTCTCTCTCGCTCAATCTCTCTCTGGTCCTGTAACCGCCCACAGAAGTAGAAGAACAGACACATCAAGCGGGAGGCGGGTGCACATGGGTCCCCCACTCCCTCCCCAACCGTCCAGCTGAAACGCTATATCAGCGGTATGTCGATATGTCAGAGTATCAACACCAGCATTTGAATATAATGATAATACATAAAACATATTGAAAATGGCACACGGATCAGGGGAGCGTCACGGCGGAAGGGAGGCCGGAACCTTCCGCGGCCCCGGAATCTTCCTTGTTCGCTGCCTTCTTATTAGACGCCCGGGCCAGGCGTCAGGATGGTCACGTGGCAGATACGCGCCAAGGGTGCCCGAAGCGGCTAGCGCAAGAGTCAAAATCATACGATTTCGGAGTCCAGCTCCACGTGGCCCGGAGCGGTTTAGCGCGCTTACATCATCCGGGCGTCCTCCCTTGCCGTCATATATATCTAATAATGATGGATATCAAAAGGGGAGCCGAGCTCGACGTCTGCCCAAACTCCCGGCCAGGCAGCCAGCTTTTTGACAGCGACAGAGGCGAGCATCTGACAGCGTACGGGAGACGGGTAGTGGCCGTCCAGGGCTGCTGTACTTGTGCATGGCCCCGTGGAACCCAGCATATCAAGAGTGAAACGCTAATTCTGTGACTCGAGGGCAGTTCGTTGGCCCAGCCCTTGGCTTTGGCCACAGGCATTCTTTTATCTTACGGATACTTTTATGCGCGCATGTCTGGCAGGGCAACAGCAGTAATACTGAGCCCATCCCGGAAGATTAATACTGCGTCCCTTCGGCTATTTTCGAACAGTGCCTGCTGACTCCGTCCTGGGAAAGTCCAGGCGAGCTGCGGTCCGCTGGCCTAGGCCTACGCATCCCAATCCCAAATTACGTTTTATGATATATCCGCTGGAGCTCCTTTCCGCTCAACCGTTGCAGTAGTCCTCCCTGGTTTCGGCGCCCTCCGGCTGCATTGTCTTATGGATAAACCAAGAGCTCTCCCGGTTCCATCCTAGCTCTCACCGTCATACTCTGCTGTCCATTTGTCTCTTGCACCCTTGACCGCCGTTATATCATTCTCTGGTCCGGTTAATTCGATTATCCATCACATTTCATCTACTGGAAACGCGGATTCTTACCTCCTAGGATACCAGCAGTTTTGATCAAGAAAAAGAAAAAGAAAAAGCCTCCTTCGTCACAATGGAGACAGACAAAGAACCCCGTCCTGATGAGACGGATTCTACACCATTTGACCTCGACATTGTCGAAGAGAGTATAAACATAGCCGACTCGCACATAGATCTTACTCCCACACCGCCTGCAGACCAAAGCGAAGAACAACCAAAGGACAAGGCCGCCATGTTTTCCGCACAGGACGACCTTACTGCAGATTGGGCCCAGTGGATGCGCTGGGACGACATTGAAGACACCAAGCCTTCGATTTTCAATATACCGAATATACCTGGCTCGTCTCTCCCGCAGTCTGCCTTCACCTTCACTTCAGATGATGCCATACTGCCTACTCATACGCTAGCCCCATCCAACGGCTCTCTCGGCCTCCCTGCCGTTAAGCAGCCTTCTGTCTCTACCATCTTCCAAGAGCAGCCAACTATTGAAACAATACAGCCGGCACCACCATCCGATGCTTCCTCTCCTTTGGCCCCCTCCCCTACATCGTCAGTCGGACGCAAGAGGAAGTCGTCTCACGATGATTCTCCAGTCAATGACGTACCTCAACCCGCTGCTGCTGCTGCTGCTGCTGCTGATAAGTCAGCTCCCTCTAAGAAGAGATCGCACAATATAATTGAAAAGAGATATCGTGCCAACCTCAACGACAAAATTGCGGAGCTACGAGACAGCGTACCTAGCTTACGCTTGACCTATAAACAGCGTCATGGCGGAAACCTAAAGAAGTCGAACGAAGATGACGATATCGACCTCACCTCTGGAAACAAACTCAACAAGGCGTCAATCCTTTCCAAAGCTACAGAATATATCAAACACCTGGAACTCAGGAACAGCCGTCTCGAGGAGGAAAATCTTTCTTTAAAAAATCGATTTCGTGAACTTGAAAAGGCCCAGGGAATAAACCTGGTTTCGTATCCCGCCGTTACTGGGTCTGAGACTCCTTCGGGAGCTTGCACCGTATCTACAAGTTCTGTTGTTACATCTCCCGATATTTTTTCTCACTCGAGTGATTTTTCCCCCGACTCACCACCGAACCCCTTATTTCCTCCCGAAGGACTACTAAGGCCCCCTGATGGATTCAACCAACTTCGCCCTACAGGGCCTCAACCGCATTATGCCGACACTTTTCAATACAACCAACCCCAAGAGTATGACTGCGCACCGTTAGAAAACGCTAGTACTGCCACCGCTCCTAGTTCGGAAACGACCACTCGCAGTCGACGACAGTTCATGGGCCTCCCCAACAAATTTATGCTTGGTACTCTTGCCGGTATCATGGTCATGGGTGGCTTTGAGAGTCATAGATCTTCTGATCCAGAGGAAAAGAAAGAACTTTTTGCGCTCCCCCTCCAGTTTCTCGGCAGCTTCTATCGCCTGGCCCTCCAGAAAGTCTATTTTATCAGGGCTAATTCCTGGCAGATTCGTGCCTTATCACAATTCGCTCTTACCTCTCTTATTCTGTTTGGGTGTGCATTTTTCATGTTTCTATACCTTTTCAACTCAAGACCGAGAGTGTCTCGAGTTCCTCTTAAACCATCCAGGACCCGAAACGTTTCAGCACAACAGCAGGTTTCGACCGGTTGCTCTTTCACAGAATTTCGACAAGATGCATGGCTTACGAGCATACAAACCGTTGGTGTTCCTCGTCATAACTTTTTTCCTGAATGGTTTGCCGTCACCTCCCGCTGTTTAGAATACTGTGTGAGGTGCCTGCTCGGATGGAAATTATATTCCTTTGTTACTGGTATCAGTGCGGATGATGAAAAAGGTCGAGTTAAAGCGTGGGATATTGCTCTTGATGCCCAACTTACAGGAGGGGATGCGGAAGTTAGCAAAAGCAGATTGGTTTTAACCATTTTTGCTGCCGGCACTCTCCCCCGTAGCCCTGCTCGCATGATGCTTAAGGCGTTCCATTGCAGGGTACTTTTATGGAGAATTAGCTCTCCCGATTCCTTGGCGTTCCGGGCTGCTAATTACATTGCTAAGGTACTTGCAAATTACCAGTGGGAACTTGCTCAAAGTATGCACCGAAGGGGGCCAAAAAGGGGTGAGGACCCATTACCAAGCCACCTTGCCTTCCTCTTATCGATGGATTGTGATGAAGTTTTCACAGACACTATCGTCCAACGTGCCAGTAATATGGTTTGGAATCGACCGACACAGGAGGCAACAGACGGTGAAGATGCATTGCTAGATGTTGTCGTCGAAGATAGCGCCGTTCGTTCTCCACTCGACGTGCTTGCGGCATGGTGGTCGAGCCGTGCATTACAAGAGGCCTTGCTCAAATCCCTAGATTTAGTGTCGATCGAGTCGCCAATCGAGAAACGCAAATCCTTCGAAAGAAGCCTGGATATAGCATTGCATTCTGCACCAATCCCATCGACAGCATATACCAGAGCAACCGTTGTGAAGGCCCTGTTTTTTGAAGAAGACAGAATTAACAATGTCAATACTGTCCTCTCGACTCTGCCGGCTAAAAACTCCGAGAACTTTCGCTCCACTTGTGGTTTGACAAATTTTCTTGATTCCTCAATCCCGCCATCCGCACGAGACGAAATCTTTATTGGTGTGCGCTGTGCAATGATTGCTGCGATATTACGAGGCCAAGTAGGTAGGGGTGAAGACGAACCAGCATCTTCTCCCTTCTCTCTTTCAAGTGCTATCAAGCAGTTCAATGCCGCTTCGGTCGATGAAGTTGAGCTCACTCTTCTTGGGTTCGCTTCTCATTATTATCTCCTCCACATCACTGCCACCGATGAAAGGCTACTACCTTGCTCTTCTCTTGCATCATCGATGCATTCGTCAGTAGTCCAACTAACGGATGGCTCGGAGACTACGACAAGCTACCAGGATGAGCATGATATCCCTATCCCTGATCTTTCCCGAATTGCTGCAGATTTGATATTCTGGGTACGAAATGCATATAACCCGATCTCCTCAGGCCTTAATGCCAAACTTATGGAGAAGGTTGTGATAGACTGCGTTGAGGTATGTCGTAACGCAGGCGTCGACATCGATATCAGAAAAATCCAGCGTATGAAGACTCATCAGCGGACATCAAGCGTTGGTCCCAGCCATACTCCTGCCCGCTCTCCAGACTCCGAGGGTGTACCGAGTGGAGTAACCCCTGTTGGAGTCCAGGGTAGAAGGCCGAGCACCTTCAGCGACGATACTGGGTATGGCAGCATCGACTCTGAAGAGAACAGAGCCATACAAACTTTCTAGGGCCTAATTCACACAATACCCAAAGTTCAAGTCCATTTCCTTTCAGATCCCGACTCGCCTTCCAGCTACATGTTTACTGTCCATAAAATTCCATCCGCTTATACATATAAGTGAATATATCATTGCGATGGTGTTCGGTCAGTTGATAGTTTCCCTTTACTGCTCCTTTCCCCTTCTTGTTACCATGTATAACGACAATTTCCCGCGGTTCCTTGATGCAGTTTATCCACTGCTATATCTCGTCATCAGCCAAGCTTCTCTACTCGCCCCTTGCCTACAAGTCCGACGTGAGTTCACGGGACATAAGATCTGTATCTATTACATAGAAATTCATATCTCCATTCTCCCCCTTTCTTGCTGCGATTGATCATTTTATTTTTTGCATGAGTTACAGTTATTGGGGATGTATGTTTTTGGTTGGTGGAGTTCATCTTGCTAGAATGCCGGACTCTGGCGTTTGCCATCATAAGGGAGGGGGAAAAAAAGGCGTTTGGTAGTTATGGAGATCCATTTGTTTTACATATGAGTTGGCTAGAGTTACGGAGGACTACCTTATTTTATTTTTGACTCATTTTATGATATTAGGGGGATTTGTGGCGCTAACCCTATAGAGTGCAAAGCAGTCCGTTTAGAGGATTAATACAATGGAGTTCGATATAATGTGCGCCTAGACCTTTCATTTCTAGCTCTGGGTAACTGTTGACATTGAGAAAAAGTACTATGATATGTTGAATATATATATAAATTGTAACAAAACAGGGTCAAGTGAGGCCATCTCAGACCAAATCAGCAAGACCGTTCAGACGGAGAAAAAAGAGCGTGGTAAAAAGTCATTTAAGACAAAAACAAAAAGCAAGCCTAGTTGATAAGGCATAAACTAGTAGTATGAGACATCAAAAACGCATATTTGGTGGGAAAAATAAAAACTCAGCCTTCTATATTCCATCGGCCCGAGACACTATTCTTTCTTCTCCAGTGTTTCTTCTCGAGAGGTGATAGCACTATCGGTCAGAAGGCTATCTGACATGAACAGCCCAGCTCTCATTTCTGCATCTTGCATTGTAATTAGCGATGTACCGGCACTTCCAATCTTCAAAGCCCGCTTAACTGCCTTCCAGCTCTCAATCAAAGCAATGTAGACGGCCACACAGCCGGCTACAATGCCCCATTCCCACGATATGGCGATGTGTTTGAATACTAGCTTGTTAACAACGGGAATATAGATGACTGGGAAGGAAGTCACGAATCCAGCTGCTACAGCCCAGAAGAGGAACCTGTTTCGCCAGAGGGTTGGGAAGATAGAGAAGACTCCCGGATAGCGCGATGGGTCAAGATTGAATAATGAACGGGAGAAGTGCTTCACTTCCCAGGCTGTCACCAGTAGAAGGAAAGACAATGTTGCAAAGGTGGTGGCACGGGCACGGAAAACAATGTCACAAGTTGGGTTCCAGTCTTCGTTGCAGTCCTGACCTAAGGAGCCACCTCCAACACCGTAAACGACGGAGACAAAGGAGACAAGACAGAGGCTTCCCATAAAGGTACCGTATATCATTTTGTCGACAATGAGTTCCTTTGTGAAAACACCGACACGCAGGTTGTGTGGCGGTCGGTACATGATATCTGCCTGGCCTTCCTCCAGGCCGAGCCCAAGGGCCAAGAAAGAGGACGTGATCAGGTTTGCCCAAAGAATCTCCAAGGGCGAAAGCGGGAACACAGAGCTTCCTTCATCATCTTTGAATGCAAGTGCAATCAGCAGAAGAATGACTTGGGCAATATTAGATATCAACAAGTGCATCAAGAACTATATGTTCAATGTTAGTACAAATACACTTATGGCAATTAAATAGTGAAACCGTTCATACCTTTTGAATATTGTCAAAGAGGCGTCGTCCTTCCTCGACGGCTTTGACCACTGATGCAAAATCATCGTCCGTTAAAACCATGTCTGCAGCAGCTTTGGCTACATCACTTCCATTCTTGCCCATGGCAATTCCAACGTCAGCACGCTTTAAAGCTGGCGAATCGTTCACACCGTCACCCGTCATGACACAATAAGCACCGCGTCGATGCATGGCTTCTACCATACGGACCTTTGTTGATGGACTGCATCGGGCAATAACAAGTGGGAGAGCTTCGATAGCATCGATTTCTTCATCTGTCATTTTGTCAAATTCGTCGGCACCCATAACAACTTTGCTGGCTCGGACGTTTGGAGTCAAGTTCCCAAGGATTCCGACTTCATATGCTATCGCGGTTGCAGTCTTAATGTGATCTCCCGTTAGCATGTGAACAGTAATACCAGCCATATGGCATTTGCGGACCGCTCCAGCTGTTTCCATGCGAGGGGGGTCGTAGAGGCCAACGAGTCCGACGAAGTCAAGACCTTTCTCGAGTTCTGTTCGATCAGGGAGGTTGTTCAAGGTTTCGGGGGATAGGGTTTTGTGTGCAATGCAAAGGACGCGAAGACCTTCGCCTGCCATCCTGTCAACCTTTGCCCGAATTTCCTGCTTCATATCATCGTCTATTGATAGAAGTGGAAGCATGGATTCCGTGGCACCCTTTGAGTAGGCTGCTGCATGTTCAGATCCAGCTCTCTTATAAACCACAGTCATTCGTTTGATAGCAGAATCAAACGGGAATTCAGAAACGAGCTCCAAGCCATTATCTTCAATGACAGAACGTTTGCCAGAGTTAAATCTGATGGCAAGTACATGGAGAGCAATTTCGGTAGGCTCTCCAACTGCAACCCAGTCCCCTCCTTTTGAGTCGACAGCATGGGAGCCTTCAGTCGATAACTTGTTATCTGGGTTGTATACGGAAGACAGGTTGCAAAGAGCGATGGTATGCAGGAATTTTGTAAGTCTAGTGTTATTCTCAAGGTTTTTTGGCTGTATGTCCTTTCCACCAATTTGGAGAAGGCCACTGTCAGGATCAAATGGGCTGTTGGTGTCGTGGATAGCAAGAGTGCCGGTGCCAGGTATCCAGGCTTTGCGGGCGATCATCTTGCCCTGAGTGAGTGTACCAGTCTTATCGGAGCAGATGTTAGTCACTCCTCCCACCGCTTCGAGAGCTTGGAGTTTTCTGACAATGACATTGCCCTTTGCCATCGATTTGGTACCAACGGCAACGGTAATCGTCAATACCGCAATCAGAGATTCTGGGATAACAGCGACGGCAACGCAAATACCATAAATGAGGACCTCGCCTTGGACATTCCACTTGTTCGCGGAGAAGACAATGATAGCTAGCATTATGGCGAGGGCAAAGAGCAGAAGGGCGAATTTGCTGAGTTTCACTTGTAGGGGCGTGCCAACCAAGCCTAGGACTTGGTCAAAGCTTCTCTTGAATCGTTTCCAAACTCGGCTGTAGATCGAGGCATTCTCTGCCTGAAGAGTGTTGTCACGAAGAAGTTGGGCAATTTTCCCGACTTCCGTATCCATACCTATCGATATAACAATTCCAGTAGCTCGGCCTCTTGTCATGATACTTCCTGAGTAAGCCATGTTTGTGCGGTCTCCAACTGCCATATCTTTAGTTGTGAAAAGGGCATCTGGGTGTTTAGAGATAGGCATGGATTCTCCAGTTAAGAGAGCCTCATCGGTAGAAGCATTGACACCATCGAATAACCGTAGATCGGCAGGTACCATGTCCCCCACAGCTAGCTGGACGACGTCACCTACAACCAAGGTTTCCGCTTTGATAGACTCAATTCTACCATCACGTACAGCTTTGCATGTGGGAGCAGATAAGGCTTGGAGGGATAAGATTGTCTTTTCTGCACGGTAGTCTTGGACGAATCTAGAGTAGAGGCGTTAGCCGGGCGAAATGTCCGAAATGGAGATGCAAACTTACCCAACGATAATATTGAGAAGAATCACGGCTGTGATCACTCCACCTTCAATATAATCGTTGATCCCGAAGGATAAAGCCATCGTTATCAAGAGTACCTAAAGTTCAAGAATTAGATATGATAAGCCGTTCAGGGGGCTAGAGGAAGGCAAACATACTAAAGTCAAACTATTTGACACCTGCCTTAGCAGAATTTTCCACATGGATATCCCCTCCGCACTCTTGATCTTGTTAGGTCCATCCCGCTCAAGGCGAGATGACGCTTCGGTACTACTAAGCCCATGTCTGGCGAGGGAGAGGAAATGTTAGCCAGTTGGAAGAGGAGATTTTTTTTAGCCCAGGGCAAAAAGGGGAGGCTCAAAAAGAGTGTTTGAATTTTAATTCAACACAAGGTATGAAGTTTCCGTACTGTAGATCAACTCGTAAAATCCGAGCAGTATCTGCAATGGAGATAGTATGGGCATGCTGATAGTAGGCGTGCCAGTCCTGGTAGTTGGCAGGACAATGGTCTACCTGGACCTGAGGGTCTAAGGTAGGGCTGGGTTGGTGTTTATTGGATTTTTCATGGATAGAAGGACATATAGGAGGTTCCGTCGGTTCCTCGACATCCGGCTGAGAAATCTCCGTGCCCATTCAATAGAGAAGGGGGGTCTACAAGGACAGATACTGGTGTTCTGTCCTCTCGAGCGGTTCTCTGGACCCTGAAGAAAGCGATTGTGGCAGTCGAAACCGGGGCCGGAGGTCGATGAGCACAGCTATCTCTCCCTTTCGTCAGCTAGCTATTCGTATCGGGACCGTCGTGGTGTCGTTATGCGTAGTTAGTTGTCTAAGAGTGAACAGGTGAGGTTGTAGTAAATAGAAGAAGAAACGAGGTGGAAGAGCCAAGCAGGCGGAAAGCGGGAGGGCGACTTTATATCAACGTCAAGGTCAAGGGACAGCCAGCACCACATTCACTAACTAACTCCTCAACTATTATTAGTCTTATATTACTTCATATCTCACAGGTCTCCGTCTCCCCCATGCATGCCTCCATTCTTTTCTTTTGCTTTTTCAGTTTTCCGTTGGAAAAGAATGAAGCAAGCACACAATTATGACAGCTTACTCAGGCTACGCTAGACCCAATCTCCCTGTTTGCTCGGTGGCTATGCCTGCTGCGATTCGCCAACGCCGTTCAGGCTATCGACAGATACGGAATGGAAACACGGTGGAAATCTGAGGGTGCCGTCAGATTGGACAGAGATCCTGGTGCCAGTGGGGACGATAGGGCGATCAAGCAGCGAGAAGCCAGAAAGCCAGAATCGCCCATCATCATGGCGATTTCCCTGCCCGCCGTCCCGGGCCCTCACAGGCTCAACAGCCCATGCGGGGCTCGCTGGTGGATCCGCCATCGCATCCCACACGAAGAACGTGTTCTAGGACATCGTCATGCCTCGTTCCAGCAATGGGCGGAGGTGGAGGCCAGTGAGGCCGCTAACCACTTGGCGAAATGCCATCTCGGTTGGGAGAAGGGAATAATATGATGACAAGAAAGGAGGCTCGATAACTACGTCCGAGTTCGCGTCGGTAATCACCCTTGGCTCGGAGCTGTCTGGCTATGGAGGGGCGAGGAAGGGAGGGGGATGGATCGGAACCATGCCAGTGTCAATTCCATGAGCAGCACATCCATACAGAGTACAATGAAGAGATTCCCGGGCAGAAGTACATGGTACAACCGGCGTGCGACGAAGGGGGAAATGGTTGTACGGCTTTCAGGTGTAGGGCTGGTTCCCGCATCCGTTTGCCTTGTTTTGAGCGGAGAAGAACCCTGATGAGGTTTGGGTCGGCCCCATTGAGGTCCCATTCGACATCTTTCCCTCTTGGGCTAGGGAGACCTGCGTCGGTCGCCCTGAAACCGGCAGGATACTGTGGATGCAATATGCCGATATCTGGGGAGCGTTTGTTTGATGCACAACGCACAGGTCTCACGTGTAAGAGAGAGATTGGTGATGACGCCCTTCTCTGCTTTTTTTTACGCTTCCGCAATTGCCAGGCAGTTAATATCTAAGCGATTGTCAGGCGTGAACTAGACTTACAGACCTTGGCGAGGTGTCTATGCGAACAGGTGCATGCGAAGCCAAGTTGAGATTGGTGTCTTTTACATGCCGGTCCTTTAACGCTCCAAACGCGACAAAAAGCCACTCTGTATCACGATTGTTCCACACGGATGCATACACCACACTTGCCGATTGGTGTTACGGGGAGAGTGAGGGCCCGCTTCTCTATCTTCAAGATATCTCCTTGTCCTTGTCGGGACTGTATGTTAATAATTTCGATGCTCTTTATCACATTATTCCCTCGTCGATGATGCAGGCAGGACGGATACGTAATCCGCCCCTCTCCGACAGAGGATGATCGACATCTCCTTCACCCCAGATTGCTCGCCATGTAGTACAACGTTGATGAGTTAAGAAAACGCATAGAGGAAGTGAAGCTGTCTTCGGTCGAAGAGACGCGCCAGGGATCCTGCTGGAAGTGCGGCTACATATCTGATTCAAAGGACGATCAACGAGCTAAACATATGCCGAATAACTTACTCGATATACCGTGCCATGGTATAGTTATCATCAGCTAGCTCCTTTCTCCTCACAGGAGGTCCTGATAACCTTCCCATCAGAGACAGAAACAGAAACAAGAGACAGATAGATCTTCCCGGCTGTGAAAGATGGACTGGACGTTTTCTTCGGCTGCGGCATTACATAAGCGTCTAGTGAAAGTCAGAGGAAAAAGAAAAAGCCCGTCAAAAAGCTGACAATCATCACGAAATATAACAAGCGAAACAACAAGCGAGCATCAGCCTGCAGACTTGGGTCGTCTGACTGCGAAAAGAGATCCGTCCTGCGCTCCCCCTTGCACTTGGGACAACATCTGGGTGATGGCAACTCCGACAGCCTCCCTTACACCGCTCCGGTTCGCCAATGGATCAGCATCATATACCTCTCCAGCTGGCGAAAAGATCCTGGCCTCAGTCAACGGACCTGGAGAAGTAAGTCGACGCGATGTGCAGAATCCGGAGGAAGCAACCCTCGAGGTGCTGGTCAAGCCTGGCGTAGGTGTTAGTGGTCCGGGAGAGCGGTATGTTGAAGGCATCCTGCGTGGCCTATTGGGCCGAGTAATCCTCATGAGGGACAAAAATATGGCGCGCAAAGGGGTGGTCGTTACTCTGGTTGTGGTCGAGAATCGCATTGTAGATGGCAAAGTGGACGTCCGGGGCGGAAGCGTAAGTATTCTTCAATGCTTTGTTTTTTTTTTTTTTTTTTTTTTTTCGTTTGAGATAGTAGCAGGTGGTTTAATGTCTTGACGTCTAACCCTTCAACCCTTCTAGTACCTCTCGATACTACCATCGCTACTACATACCGCGCTCCTCGGGTTGTTGTCTGCCGGAATACCGATGGCTATGACATATACATCGTGCCTAATCGCTATATCACCTTCGGGTGACTTACTCGCGAACCCATCAACGGAGCAGATAGAAACTAGCACCTCCTTGCACGTTTTAGCGTTTTCTTCCAAGGGAAACCTCCTTCTAAATGAAAGCCAAGGCTGTTTCAATTTAAAGCAGTGGGACGATGTCCATGACCTCGCAGCAACGCTGTGTTATGCTAGTAGCACTAGCCATGGAGATGAAGACGTTGCAATGGATGGAGAGGCCGGGAATACTCTCAAGGATTTCATTCGAGGAACAGTTGAAGACAAGGTTAGAGAGGAATTCGCTTGGAAGCTTGCAGCGGCTTGAGAGGTCAAGGAGATAGGGGTTTGTACCAATATCATCAGCAACCCCAACCGCGGGTATCATTATGCCGTTGCAGTGCTCTTATGATTGTTGCACTGCCGAATATCCTAATCTGGAGTCTTGCTAAACCGGTACCTCATCGACTGTTCGTGAGATACCCATTATAGCTGCATAACGTGCAATTGCTTCCAGGGTTCAATGCATACCCCCTGCCTCCTCCTGTAGGCAGGTGTTTGATAGCTCCACGGTGTGCTATGACCAAAACTCAAACGCTCACCCGACTGGAATGCCTGTCCAAGATATATCGATGGATTCAAAACATTGCCTGGGTTGCTACAATGGATCGATACTATAACAAGGCAGTAACAATACGAATGATTCTGTTGCCCCCCGATATACTGTGTCGTATGGATCTTGAATAAGAGATTGATTTTATTTACTTTCTACTAACGTGGTGCATAAACAGCACCCAACTCAACTCTCCTTCACCCCTGGCCATATTCTAGCAATATATCTGTCAAAGCCAGCGTGTGCAGGCGACTGGGCTCGAAATATCAGCCAAACTACTGCGCTCGATGTGCCCCCGGAAACTCACAGCCAATATCGGTTTCGACCGTCGTCCATTCGGCATATCGATTCGTTGATCCACATCGTATAGCCTGGAATAACTGTTTCGGTACATTTCCCTGACGTTTATTCTTGTGCTCAATGATTTCTAGTCAGCAAGTCTGGGCGAGGATCAACTAGTACTCTCGATACTCACTTCGCTGCTTAACGGCTTATCGCATTGCAAACCATGACTCGAAACACGTATAGGTTGGCAATTTGTACCGCCAGCCCAACAAGTGCAGTGAGCACAAGGACGCCAATGACGGAAAGTGTCGTCATGATTGGACTCGTGGTATTGATTTCTCCGAGACGATCCATTCTTTCTACTGGCACATCGTTTATTTCGATTGAGTAGTCAGCGCTCCTGATCATCCCGATCTTGACTCCATTTGCAGTAAAGGCAAGCATATGTTCCTCTTCAGCGACAGGGAACATCTTCAGGTCAATATCTATGTGATGCTTTTCCATCCCAGGCATTAATCTCAGCCCTGAAAATAAAACTGGCAGCACCGAATAGTGCTTTCGTGAATGATGTGTAATGCGAGGATCAAGGCCCCCGGAAGAGCTGGATTATTTGAACAAAGGGCTATCTAATTTCTTTGTCTTGAAAAGTGAAGATTTCTACCTTGAGCAACATCACGCAATTGTTACCCACAACCAATACTATGGGATATATTCGCTATATCGGCGCAGCAAACGGGTAGTCCTTAGAGCTACGAAGGATTACTCCGCACTGTTAGTATTATTATCTCAATAAAGGATAATAAGCAGGTTCTTTGTTTTTGTCACTCTTGTGAAGCAGACAGGTCAACAATCGAACCGCAAAGCAACAAAATATGTAGTTTATCCTTCTCAGCATTCTTCAACAGGGAATAAGAAGCGGCTAAAGGACATTCATTATATGAAACGCCACTGGCTTTCACCGACTATTACAATAGCTACGCCAACTGTTCGGGTTTGGTAAAAGAAGGATTCCATCCGCTGCAAAGAGGAGAGGCTCGCGGGTGCTATAAGCCCGGAAATATGAAGACTTGATCCCCCGAAAGAAATAATAAAAAGAAAAGAAAAGCTCCCCAAGCCTGATGATGTATGCCTCTCCGGTCATGGGTAAATCGCATTGGGGTCGCGGGATTATAATGGAAGTGGGAAGGCGTTGCATTAGCGAGCATCGCTTTGTTCAGGCAAGATCCTCCGTTGATTTTCAGGGGTATCCTACCGTCTCCATGCAGATCCTTCGATGGCCGCGCGCGGGGTACCCCGTCGCACATTTATGCCCTGTAAGTCGGCGGAGGGAGATGTTTTGTGAGTTTATACCGAATATATGACACTCTCTATCATGCGCAGATGTAACATCCTGTCAACTCTAACAGATTAAAACAGGCTTAGCAAGGATTAGAGACGGCAAGAGATACAAGCTTTCCCCTCATTGCTTGGTAGGAAAACATCCATGTTGAATGTTTCTTGCCTCTGGGCGAACGGCCGAGACATGTCCTTTTGAATTGTTTGATCAGCTGTGCCTCCATTTCCGGTCTATCGCTCTTTTTCGTGTATAAAGAGCTCTCTCCACAGAAGATTCACCCCAGGTTTTGCTGGAGTCTGAGCTTTTGCTATGTTCTGGCCGACTGATACTTGCTTAACTATCCGGCGGACCCTACCTTGCGAGCATTGCTCAAGATGCGTATATATGTATAATAAATACGTTCATGCTGCATCTTCTATGAATAGACATACCCCAGACCAAGTATTGACCATGTCCCGGCCGCTTCTATGCGAGTACCTTTGAATGCCTCAGGGAGATACCCGCAGGAATACGGTTGCCGTATTCCGTATATCATGGTATATAAATACCTATATCTGCTCTCCAGGGAACTTCGTCCCTTATTCTCCTTTGTTCACTGCAAGATTCTCTCCGTTCATCTCATAACCCCAGCTCAGGGTGTCTGCAGCGATGCGTCTTCTCAAGTTTGTGTGCCTGTTGGCATCAGTTGCCGCCGCAAAGCCTACCCCAGGGGCGTCACACAAGGTCATTGAACATCTTGACTTTGTTCCAGAAGGATGGCAGATGGTTGGTGCCGCGGACCCTGCTGCTATCATTGATTTCTGGCTTGCCATCGAGCGCGAAAACCCAGAAAAGCTCTACGACACCATCTATGACGTCTCCACCCCTGGACGTGCACAATACGGCAAACATTTGAAGCGCGAAGAATTGGATGATTTACTACGCCCAAGGGTAGAGACGAGCGAGAGCATCATCAGCTGGCTCACCAACGGCGGAGTCAACCCACAACATATTCGGGATGAAGGGGACTGGGTCAAATTCTCCACCAATGTCAAGACTGCCGAGAAGCTGATGAATACCCGCTTCAACGTCTTCAAGGACAACCTAAACTCTGTGTCAAAAATTCGAACTTTGGAGTATTCCGTCCCTGTAGCTATATCAGCTCATGTCCAAATGATCCAGCCAACTACCTTATTCGGACGACAGAAGCCACAGAACAGTTTGATTCTAAACCCCTTGACCAAGGATCTAGAATCCATGTCCGTTGAAGAATTTGCTGCTTCTCAGTGCAGGTCCTTAGTGACTACTGCCTGCCTTCGAGAATTGTACGGACTTGGTGACCGGGTCACTCAGGCTCGGGATGACAACCGGATTGGAGTATCCGGCTTTTTGGAGGAGTACGCCCAATACCGCGATCTTGAGCTCTTCCTCTCTCGCTTTGAGCCATCCGCCAAAGGATTTAATTTCAGTGAAGGCCTTATTGCCGGAGGAAAGAACACCCAGGGTGGCCCTGGAAGCTCTACTGAGGCCAACCTTGATATGCAATATGTCGTCGGTCTGTCCCACAAGGCAAAGGTCACCTATTACTCCACCGCTGGCCGTGGCCCGTTAGTTCCCGATCTATCTCAGCCAAGCCAAGCTTCAAACAACAACGAACCCTACCTAGAACAGCTGCGCTACCTCGTAAAGCTCCCCAAGAACCAGCTTCCATCTGTATTGACAACTTCCTATGGAGAAACAGAACAGAGCTTGCCCGCCAGCTATACCAAAGCCACTTGCGACCTCTTTGCTCAGCTAGGAACTATGGGTGTGTCTGTTATCTTCAGCAGTGGTGATACTGGGCCCGGAAGCTCATGCCAGACCAACGATGGCAAGAACGCGACTCGCTTCAACCCTATCTACCCAGCTTCTTGCCCGTTTGTGACCTCCATCGGTGGAACCGTTGGCACCGGGCCTGAGCGTGCAGTTTCATTCTCCTCCGGTGGCTTCTCAGACAGGTTCCCCTGCCCACAGTATCAGGATAACGCTGTTAAAGGCTACCTGAAAATTCTGGGCAACCAGTGGAGCGGATTGTTTGACCCCAACGGCCGTGCTTTCCCAGATATCGCAGCTCAGGGGTCAAATTATGCTGTCTATGACAAGGGAAGGATGACTGGAGTCTCCGGCACCAGGTATGGAAATATCGACAAGCCTTGGTAACCTTTGCTCATGGAGTACGCTAATATAATCTATAGTGCATCTGCCCCTGCCATGGCAGCCATCATTGCCCAGCTTAACGATTTCCGACTGGCAAAGGGCTCTCCTGTGCTCGGATTCTTGAACCCATGGATATATTCCAAGGGTTTCTCTGGTTTTACAGATATTGTTGATGGCGGTTCCAGGGGTTGCACTGGTTACGATATATACAGCGGCTTGAAAGCGAAGAAGGTTCCCTATGCCAGCTGGAATGCAACTAAGGGATGGGACCCAGTAACTGGATTTGGTACTCCCAACTTCCAAGCTCTCACTAAAGTGCTGCCCTAAACGCCTCTATTCAACTTTTGGGCCCTGCTATTGGGACATATCAGCCCGGTCAATATGATATAGCCGCCATGATGTGCACATGCAAAATATATTTAGCACACCAAATCGAAATTCCTTTCCAACTACCCCAGGAAGAGTAGTAGTTCTATTTATATATTGTGAACTTGGCGCTGCAGCATACTCCAAGTATGTATATGTATCTCACGGTGATTGGGCCACTGCAAAGATTCGTCGCTGGGATAGTTATATGCAGATGCTGTACTCCGGCGGAGCTCCAACACATGGCAGGTGAAGCGTTGCTTCGCTTCGCTTCTCCTTTCATCACGAAATGGAGTACGGAATATATTTGCATGGCTATCTCTTCTTAGCGCCAGGCGCCCCGTACAAAAACCCCTAAGGACCAGATACGTAAGAAGCAAACGCCTACAGAAATGCTTACTCTTCGTGCATTAACTACAGGGATGTTCATGCATTCAAGTCAGAACCCACCGAGGGCCGAAGGAGCCGGACAATATGAAACTCGCTGAGGAGACGGACTATCCGTAACTATCGATCCCGCAGCTATTGAGTTCCAGACAGTCACATATCAATCACCATGACGAACGTGCAGAATTGGCTAAACACTGGAAATCTGCCAACTACAGCAGGGAAGACTAGCGACGCCCGTCACATCGCATCGCTCCACCCGGATATGCAGCTTCGGAGGCTTCTTCCCTGCTGATGTGGCCGCCTGGGAGCTGACTCGCTCGATCTTGATACGAGGATGTGAGATATCAAACATGGTCTGCAGCCAGCCCTGTCTCCTTCTCCCTCTGTCCATGCTGGCTGACCGCATCCTCCAAGCGCTTAGCCAGTTCGCTAGTTAGTTCGACGGAGTTCGGCAGACAGAGGAATACATATATACTACCGACTTCCATGGCCGCTGCCGACTTCAGGGCTGCTTCGAGGGTCTAATCCCTCCTTCGAATAGTCAAAGCCGAAGATGAACGGAGACCGTGACCCCTTCTAAGCCCTTTGTTCTTAAACAGCATTCACGCACAGGCTGCTGGTTAGTTAAGAACCGCTGAACTGGTAGCGCACCCATAATTAGTTATCTAGACCTCCGAGCATCCCGAGGGGTGGAAATCGCCATGACAGCCTCGATAGAAGCCGCCGATGTTATTGGTAAAGAAAACAGCCATGGCAGCAGCAATCTGGGCCTGTCTTTAGGGCCACCGGAAGTTTCATCGTCCTCGTCTCAGCAGTCGACGCCAATCCCCGTACCAGCGAGCTACAGCCAGCGCAACCGCAAGGCCACCAGTTTGGCCATATATCCTCAACCTCTTGACGATCCCATGGGGCAGCATGGCCTTGATACTGCTCCACGAACAAGTGTCTCACTAACTGCCTCGCTGAGCGAGATTCTCAATCCGGACGCCCGAACAACGACCGCCGTTTCCAAGAATAAGATCGCCGAAACTCAGGCTTCTGAGATCATCTCAAAGGACAACAGCGCTTCTCTTGCCGATAGACTTGTTGCAATATCCCATTCACAAATCAACACTATAGAAACAGAGAGGTCAACACCTCGCTTATCTATTAAATCACCCTGTTATTTTCACCAGCGATTTGATGATGCCGTGAATATCGAACGAGTTCTGGATGAAGTAGTTAGTGACGAATGGAT